AGCCCCTTCCAGGGCCTAAAGGGGCTCCAGGAGAGCTGGAGAGGGACTGGGGACAAGGGATGGAGGGACAGGACACAGGGAATGGCTCCCACTGCCAGAGGACAGGGATGGATGGGATATTGGGAAGGAATTGTTCCCTGGCAGGGTGGGCAGGCCCTGGCACAGGGTGCCCACCCTGGGATCCCTGGCAGTGCCCAAGGCCAGGCTGGAAGGGGTTTGGAGCAGCCTGGGACAGTGGGAGGTGTCCCTGCCCATGGCAAGGGAAGGAATGAGGTGAACTTTAAGGTCCCTTTCCATGAAAATATTCTGTGATTCTGTGCCTGGAGAGCTGCAGCAGAGAGCAGCTGGAGATGTGTGAGCAAGACTTAAGCATGTTTTTGCATGTAGATTTTTGTTTGTAAGCAGAGCTCCTTCACTCTGGAATTATTGGTTATTGATGGAGCTGCATCTTGCAATGCTACTTTAATAACATTGAGGAAGCACCTGGAAACATCCAACAGATCAAACCCCTGTAACAAAGCTCCGGCAAGGGCTCCTCAGATGGTTCCTGCCCCAAAGGGCAGCACTCCCTATACGGGGGAAGAGTGGGAGGGAGGGAGGGAATCCTTCCTTAAACCACTGAATGCCTCCACACATGCTCCTGCATCCCAGCACTGCTCCTCACCCACAGGCACATGCAGCTTCGTTTTTCTGTCTAGAGTGAACTTTTAAGGAAAAGTATTCAGGGACAAAAAGCAACTGTCCCCCTGATTCTTCTACAAGGCCCTGACCCGTGGCTGCGCCTCGACCACCTGCTCGGGCTGACATTCACGGAGCTGAGGCTGGCAGAGGCTTGGGCACATTCTAGCCAATTCCAAATGCCAGTTTTGTTTTCTGGAGACACCATTTTCCTGTGTTTTACACAGTCTTACCCTCTGTTACTGAAAAAAGGTCTGTGTGTGATTCAAGGTCAATCTACTGCACAAAGGACTTGGTTTCCTGTTATCAAGCCCAGATTTTCATCAGAGTAAACATCCCCTCACTGCACGTCCTGTAGAGAAACACAAGTAGCATGAACAGAATATAGCATGACATGCTTGGAAAAGAAATCAGTACCTTGTATCTGCCTCCCACATCCCCCTTCTCCCTCTGGTGTTTGCCCAAAGCCCTCCAGGGCAGGGCTGGGTGCTTTTCTTATAAACAACCATGAACCTTCCTGAAGGACATTAAACCATAGAACTGGGGAATGGTTTGGATGAGAAGGGACCCTAAAGCCCATCTCATTCCACCCCCTGTCATGGGCAGGGGCACCTTCCACTACCCGAGGTTGCTCCAGGCCCTGTCCAGCCTGGCCTTGGACACTCCCAGGGATGTGAGTGTTGAATCCACTGATCACAGCCAGAGTATTTGCATTCCTATTTTTCCAGTGTAAAGCCAGCTCCAGAGCCAGGTATTCACCCCATCAGCCAATCGATTCTGCATTAGAACAGTGGGTCATTGATGCTCTGGGAAACACCAAACAGGCCCGTCTGGCGCGTGGACACCCGGGGCGGTGTTTCCTATGGAAAACTGTCAGCCTTCGGAATCTCAGCCTCCGCTTAAAGGAAAGATCTACATGCCAACCAGACTTAAATTAGCCTTGGAAACCGATTCTGGAAAATGTGCCAGCTCAGATGCAAATCCCTCTTACTTACCTCGTGATGACAACAAAAGCCTGGTGAAATTTTACTCATCCATTAACAGAAAAGACCTTGCCCGGTGACACACGTGGGTGGGATTCCAGCAGGGTGACATTATGCTTTTGGCACGAGGGCCTTGGCCCCCAAGAATGGCAGCCCTGTGGCATGACAAACGCAGGCCACAGCCACATACTTTACCTGCTGACTCAAGGGGAAGAATGCAGAACCTACAAAAATTAAACTGCCAGCCAAAATCCCGAGATGGTAATCTCACTGAACAGCCCCTGGGGTAAAAGATTGATGATTAGAATTACACTCAGGAAAACACTGGCTGATTTCCAAACACCTTCAGAGCAAGGTATAGCCAAGACATTCCACTGGGGTCACTTCCTAAATCCACTGGAGGGAAAACATGAGCACTCAGCTCACTGGGACAGTGTTTTCTGTTTCACCACCACGGATAGAGGCCCCTCCATGCTCCATTAAAATCAATGTCAGAACTCTCCTGCTTTTAGCATGAACTCATTTTCATTTCTCCTGCTCCTGGGTCGTGTTTCGTTTCTCCTTTTTGCCACCTCTCCAAAACTGAAACAGCAGCAGCAGTGATCAGATCAGATCAGATGACTTCCTAGGTCACACATAGACATGGAAATCCCAAAAGAATCCTCCGTTTTCAGGTGAAAACCAAATGTCGACACCTGTCCACCTGCTTCCCGCACAGCACCAGGGTTATTTTCCTCTTGAGGACTGGGTATTTAAGGATGTGGTTGAGACAATGCGTTTTCTGTTTGACTTCAGTTTGGCTTTCAGTTTGAAACCGAGACTGCTCTTCTTGTTAAACGCTGTCCCAGAAAGAAGGAAGGATTTCCAGAAGCCCCAGTCACCTGTCTGTGGCTCGGCAGGTTGAGGATAGCCACACCACAGCGATTGAAGAGCCTGCGGTCGCGATAAATGAGAACAGGTTCCCCTCCTTCTCTGGTTTTCTGAAAAACCCTGGGGAGCATTCGCTTCCCCCTTGCAAGAATGCTGCTAATATTTTGGTTTTTTAAAGTAGCTTTTAATCTTAATTGCTGTTGGGATCTTTGGGCGATCAAAGGGAGGATGGCTGTGATTCTTTGTATTACTCACTGCTGCATTAGCACCGGGATCACATATTCATTTATTTTGGTTGAGGAGGTAACAGTCTCTTTTCACTGCACGCACACAATTACTGTAAGCATGCAGGGGACTTGCCAAATGATGCATGAGGGGAGGAGGAGAATCTTTGAAGAAAATTGTTCAAACGTAATTTAGTTCACTAATTGGCAAGGGACCGTTACTAACGAATCGCTTCTGTTTTATGTCAGTACTGAATCAGGTTGATGATGTGTAACATACATTAAGTCAGTTAATGAGTATTAACTAGAAATGCGACTGAAACACAAGAAAAAGGGTTTTTCACCTTTAACTAGCCAAGCTGAATCACCAATAAATAAAAGGACATGTGTAAGTGGCTTAGATGATTCCAATCTGCAGTGGAAAGACTTTTCTTAGAATCTGATGGTAACCACAACTTTGTGGGAAAAAAAAAAAATCAGACGCTTACTGTGGCACTTCATCACCACTTGCTTTAATTCTAACCAAGCCTGAAATGAAAATGACTAAAAGTCATTACCGTAAAATAGCTGATTAGAACCCAATGTGAACTGACACAGGGAGTCCTGGCCCAGGCTACGAGACCAGGGCATCGTGGGGCCAGCAAAGGCATGTGTTGCCTTGGTGGTGGCTGTGTGTGCACTTTCACTGGGGGACAGGACACTTGGCATCCCCCAGTCTGCACCAGGCAGGCTGATGTGCCCCTAACCCTTGGGAACCACATGGAGAGGAGGGAGATCACCTTGCTGGAGCAGCCACAATCACAGCCATGCTCCACTGTCACCTCTGTGTGTGACCCAACAGCACGGCACGGCTTTGGGTGCAGTCAGGGCTGCAGGAATGTGGCCCTCAGAGCCCAGCAGTGCCAGGGCAGAGCTGAGGTGACAGCAGCCCACGTGCAGAACCTGGGTCACTTGTGGATGTGCAGCCCTGAGAGCAAACACTGTTACAAAACCCAGGCAGGAGGAAAGGTGCTGCCTGGCTCTGGCATGTGAACAAACTGGCTTATTAGGCCACAGGTGCAAAAATGAGAACATGGAGTGGAAGTGAGGATAAAATGGAGAATTCCTGTGTTCTGCAGGTTTTGTGAAATAGGTATCAGGCCATGGAACCTGCCAGACACTGGGGGGGGTTCAGGGACAGGTCTGTTTGCCATGGGCCAAGGGGGGACAGCTGTGGGATTGGCTTTAGGATTGCAATCCAACACCTGGAGAAGGAGGGTGACAGAACATCTCAGGGGGTTCAGCCTGGGCATTACCTCTGCTCAGTCAGGCAGGTCCAGCCTGGCCTTCAACTCGAGATTTTCAACTTTCTGGCCAAGCAGAGTCCAAACAGAAGGGAGATGCATCAATCCCAACTCCTGGCAGCTCTAGGCAAGGAAAGATCACTGTTCCAGCAGGAAGGAAGGGCCCTGATGTCTGCAGCCAATCTTGGACACTGCCACAGCAGATGAGAGTTCCAGACTCTATGGATCAGACACTTGTCATGTGTTGTTCTCCTTACCTGTATTTGCAGCCACCAGGCACCTTTCTTACAGCTGGTTCTAAACTGGGGGCATTGCAACACAATTTATATTATAAATTTATATTTATATCAGCTGAGCTGCTGAGCCCCAAGGCACACAGTGGGGTGCTGATTTAGAAATAAGCTGATAACACAGTCATGGCAACAGGACTTGCAGAGTCAGAAGAAAAACCTAAACATCCAGCACCAGCAGAAAATGTGTACAGATTAGTTTATCTCTGCACTCAACAGAGATAAGACCCCTTCTTTGAAAAAAAAATCTAAGCTCCGGAAACAGCAGAGAGGGTGAAGTTAAGCACAATGTGGTGGATCATTAGACAAGCTGCCTGCTGGCATTGACACCTCAGAGTTCATCTGGAAATAATATCATTAAACAGGGGTGACAGTGGCACAGGACAGTCCAGCCCCAGAGGAGGGGATTTATCCAGTGAGGGGCAGGGTGTGTGGGGGAAAGAGGCAGAAAGAAGCACACAGACACCATTCATGTGGAATGATAAATCCTCAGCTTAAGAACATCAAACAAGCGCAGCAGGTTGACAATGCCATGACAGTTCTGGTGCTTGTTGTCTTTTGGCAATCCAGAGCTTCCATGAGACAAACATGCAGAAATACACGTGGGACAGGGAAGAGTTAAACACTGCTCTGTAGTCAAATGACAATGCAAACTCACACCTTCCAAACGTGTCAGAAAGAACAGAATTTTCTGCCATTCAGAGGAAGCTTCTTTGGTTCACTGACCTTCCTTTTCTTCTCAGGTCCTATTACCTCTTCCTGGCTGAAGGCAAGGTTCAGGAGGTTTATCTGTAAGAACCATCAGAAACAGGGATCATTCTCAGAGGGCATGCTCCTGCAACATGAGTTTAAGAGTACAGCTTCCAAAAGTGCCATGTGTGTGCCTGGATCTTCTTGGCTTTGCTCACTGTGATCTTGTTCCCCAGAAAAGCAATTAGGCAAGGAATCAAAACTGGAGTGCTGCATGTAAGGGAATGTAAGAGTTGTGCAAGCAACAGGTTCAGCTTCAGGGACAGGGAATGGGTTTGGTGGCAAGGGGACAGGACCCACCTCCCCATCACTGACAGAAAATAGCAGGAGCAAGGAGATTTTTGAGGAATATAATAGCTGACAGGACATTTGTTTCTCCACCAGCCTCAGATAATCATAACATATGAAAAAGAACAGGGCACTTAAGTCAAATCTGTGGTCACAGCCTTTCAGGAGAAGACACACAGTCCCTCTGTTTGTACCTCAGGGAATTCAGTGTGAGCTGGTCAATCTCAGGCTTCAAAACTACCTGTGAGTCTGTGAAAAATAACTAAGCCAAGCAAGCTTTTTTCCAAAAGATTTAACTTCCCTTTAGAAAGACACAAACCTCTCCCAGAAATACTTTGAGCCTGCAAATCAAGAGGTTAAGAAGCACAGATAAAGATATGTGAGAATATAAGTGAGTCAATGGAACAGACACTTCAGACAGACCACAGGGAGATGGACAGCCAGGACGACAGCTGAAGTGTTGGCTGAGCCAGGGGACAAACTCACTTATCCTCCTTATCATGTCACATATTTGCTTTTCTACAATAATAATCCGGAGCTGCTGAGAGCAGCGTGTGTTGTCGCCCACCCAGAAGGGACAAAGCACAGTCTGGCAATGTGGCCTCTCTCACTGGAGCTGAGGGGACACACCAGGCACGGAGCCTCTCCTCCAAAACAAAGTTCACTTGGGTGACAGCGAGGTGAATGGAGAGGGAAAGGAGTGCTAAGAGAATTCCTGCTCCCAGACAGGAGCACCTCCCTCTAGCGTCACTGCAAGGCAGGAGGAACCCCAGAACTGCAGCAGGGGAAGCACAAGGGGTTAATAGAGAGCTGTTCCAGAACACATCCCGGGGATGAGCACAAGGTCTCCAGATTACAAGATGTGGTCATTATAGAATTCCCCGCTCACGTCACCAAGGCTTGCTTTCCATCTGACCTTGGAATGCGGCTTCGGCAATCTCTGCATAGCAATGGGCTTTCTAATGTGTGAAATAGCTCTGATTAGGGATTAACAGCAAAATACTTTGAATCAGCCTCACTTCGCCTCTCTATCGTGTTTCAAATGGTTTTGCTTCCCTCCTCTTCATTATGAGCAATACAATGTTGCTTAATGCAAGAGTACAATTTCCTTTCCCTAAAAACAGAGAAAATAAGAACATGCCAAAGTGGGCTGGGCAGGTTCTCCCTCATCCTGCACAGTCAGGCTGACAGAGCTTTCCAAGGCTGCCCAAGGTGTGTTTGCTTGAGGACAGAGCCATGAGTGGCTCTGTGTTACAGCTCCTCACCTGATATTCAGCTGCTTCAACTGGCATTTTTGGCAGCTATTTACTTTCCTCTCCCTGGCATCGTTTTAACCTGTCGGCTTCCTTTTTTTCTTTTCAAGTGAAGGGCCCAGAGGAGGAAACACTGCATCTAAAACCTCTGCAGTGCTAACACAGCTGCAGGGTTTGTACCCTGTCCTGCTGGCCACATAACAAAGCAAGGACACAATTCCCAGTTTCCCATTACCTGGATGGGGCAGCTCTCCCTCTGTTTTAGTTTAAACCTAGCTAGAGCTGGTGTTTTAATTTCCTCTACTGAGGAATGGATCTTCCACGGCCCAGAGAGCTACTCAGTGAAGGTTTTATCCCTTTGCTATTCCTCCAGAATTTCCTGGATGGATGGGATACTTGTGAGAGGGAGAAATAGCCACGATGAGCAGCTGCTTGCACTCCAGCTCCCCCCAGTTCTCCTGCCCTTTACCACAGGCAGCATGAGCACTTCGCAGGAACCTGAGATGAGGAGTGAAAACATCCAAGGAAGCCATGGAGGGCTCTAGAGAAGCACCATTCACCCATGCAATGAATCAGATGTCAACAGTGAGAGGTATTTCACCCAAGCCAACACGTCCTGGCCTGTCCCTGCCCAAGCTCACGTAGGAGCTTGGAGCCAGGAACAGACCCCAAGTCCAACTTCAGCTCCCATCCTTAACCAAACACTCCGGCTTCTTCCCCAGAAAAGCTGCTCTAAAGGGGATTAAGTCAGCTCTGACGTGTGCTTATTTGACTTGAAGCAGAAAGTAAACCTCCTCAATGGTGTGGTGAGAAGCAGGAAATCCCTCCCATTGATTAAACATACAATCAAAGCCTCCAGAAGTTCATTAATTCTAATTTTTCCTCATGTACTGGGATGCTTCACTTGAATAACTGATGTCAGAGCTTGGACTGTGAGAATGTTGCTTTTCCTCTTACACAGTCTCAGCCCCATGGATGAGCCAGGTGCTGTAAAAGCAGGTAGGACAAGGAGCAGCCCCTTGCACCCTCACCCTAAAAAGGGACCATGCTGACAGGTGGGACAAGAGCGAGCAGCAAAGGCAGCTCTGTGACCTCCTGACTCTGAGTCCAAGGCAGAGTTCAGGGTCTGGGTCACACCATGAACATGAACACACAGTGAGTTTGAATCTCCTGTTTTACTACGTGTAAAAAAGCATTATTTTGCCGCAGGAGTTTTCCTGTAGAACTACAGCTAACTTGTGAATCATACAAGTGTTACTAATTTCTGGCATAAAACTCACAGGACAGCTGTGCGTTGTCTGGAGAAGATATCAGGCTAAAAATAGATTAGACTTAGATTAAAGCCTTCCCAAGGCAGACTGGTGGATGAAACAGAGTGAGTAGACCACAGCAGCATTGCTATTCTTAGATAGACACAATCAGGACCCAGAATTTGTGTTCTGTAGTTTGCAATCCCCAGTGTCCCCACATATTCCAGCCAAAAATTCCCAGCATAAATTGAAGAAAATTTACAGCTCTCCTGACATGTGTTTTGCTTCCCAAGGCATCCTATGCAGAACAGCTAAAATTGCACAAGAGCATTCGGCTGTGTCCCTCTTTGTCCCTGGCCTGCCCCATGCTGGGGTTTGGCACTTGGCATATTTTATGCCCTCAGAAGAGTTCCCTTTGTCCAGGACACGGAGGGTTTTGTTTGGTACCTTGTAACTATCCCCACAAATTCACAAGCACATGAACGTCAAAAGAAGTGCAGTTCCATCGAGCAAGCTGGAAGAATAAGGGCTGAGATACAAGACTGAGCTGCTGAAATAAGGCAGAGTGACCCTCAGGTGTCAGGACAACACAGTTTGTACAGGGGGGGTCTCATCATCAGAGATGTTAATCAGAGTGACCTGGGGCATCCTGTGATTTCAGCTGCAGCTACCACTGGCTCAACAGCACAGCAAAGTCTTGTCACTTCCAAAAATCAACCTGGTGAATCTTCAGATTGGTGCCCTAAGACCCAATTCCTGCCTGCTCACTGACAGCTGGCTGCTCTGTGCTCTGAAGCACAGCAAAAACCCAGGGTCACAGGACACATCAAAGTGTCAGTGAAAGGATGAGAGGAGATGGACACAAACTGAAACCACAGAATTGCAGATTCCCAGAATGGTTTGTGTTGGAAGGAATCTTAAAGCTCATCTCATTCCATCCTCCTGTCATGAGCAGGGACACTTTCCACTGGCCCAGGATGCTCCATGCCCATCTAACCTGGCCTTGAGCACTTCCATGGAAATACAAGAAATTCTATTTAAACATAGGGACAAACTTTTTATTTTTTTACTGTGAGTGCAACCAAGTAGTGCTCGAAAGTCATCCAGGGAGGCTGTGGAGCCTCCTCCCTTGGAGATACCGCCTGAGAGGACAAGGTCCTGAGGAATGTTCTCCCTTTCCCTGTGCTCTGAGCAGGTTGGTTGGCCCTGCTGATGCTGGTGGCTGCACAGGGGTGGCTCCAAGGTTAAACCCCAGCACTGGGCTCCCATCAGTCTCCAGTGCTGTGGTCACACTGACATCAGTGGAATCCACCCTGATTTCCATCTGTGCAGGAGGATCACACTGGTTAGTGTGAAAGCCAGGTGGAACCATGAAAGACCCTCAGTGTAGTGCTGCTGTGGAAAGCTGCCAAGAAACCACGCCAAGACATGGCTGACTATCACCAGTCCTCTTCCTTTTCCTCAGCTCTGATAAAACCTTTGGCATTCAGTGCCACTCTTTTGTCTCATGTTCCGTTCGGCATCTTGTGTGTCTTGTAGCTTTTAAAAGATCAATGAACAGATCTTTTCAGAGTACAAAAAAACATGCTTCAAAAATTCCTATCAGAAGACAAAATTATCAATACCTATCCTGTTAATCTCCTCCAGGGCCCTCAAGCCACTCAATCCTGTCCACTTCCATGATGGACATTCTCTTTGCTGGATCACAATCACTTCCCAGAATCCTGATTCCACTCTGTAACTGAGGGGAAAAAGACAATGGACACTCCTTCTGCCTACTAGGCTGCTACCCAGCAGCGTCTCATGGGATATTAGATGTGTCCAACCTTCATTTATGTGGATTTCTCCAGAGGGTCTGGCTGCTAGAATGCACAGCATGAACACATGGAATGGCAGCCAGCATGGAAGCGCCACGTCTTCCCACAGATGTCCCTGGGGGAGCTGCCAGGGAATCTGAGGGTGCAAAGGTTAAATCTCCCTGGATCTGTGGGGTGACAGGCCTCACCTCTGCATGCAGAGATCACTAGGAAACTGTTTCCTGCACACTAGACAGGGATAACTCATGGAAGGGATGAATGGCCCCAAGATAGAGCTAAGGATCTGACGTGAACTGAGAGAAGCCAGGAATTTCCTGACCTCCCTGTCTCACTCCTCCCAGTATGGCCTGAGCTCACAGGAAGGAGAGGCAAGCTCATCTCTGAATCTTTCTCTCTTCATTGCTTGGGTCTGTGTAGCTTCAGCTGGTTTGGAGGAGAAAATGTTCTGGGAACTTCTCATCAGATACAGCTCTCTTGATAGGCAGACAGAGATAAACCTTGCTGCTTTTTTTTCTCTTCTGCAAAAGTTCAAGATAATGACATTGCCACAGAAAAATGCTTTTCTATTGCTCGACACATGGCAGGTTTCATCCTTCAACTGCCTTCTGTCATGGCACTTCTGAACGTGGTTTGCCTGGGAAAAATCAGACAACAAAAGGTCTTGATCTCCAAGCTGTTGTTCTGCAGTTGAACACACTTGTGCTGACCTTTACTGCCAAAAGAAGCTTGTACAACACTGCAGCTCAGCAGGGCACAGGAGCTGTGGAATGGTTTGGGCTGGAAGGGATCTTAAAGCTCATCTCACTCTACCCCTGCCATGGGCAGGGACATCTTCCACTGTCCCAGGCTGCTCCAAGCCCCAGTGTCCAGCCTGGCCTTGGGCACTGCCAGGGATCCAGGGGCAGCCCCAGCTGCTCTGGGCACCCTGTGCCAGGGCCTGCCCACCCTGCCAGGGAACAATTCCTGCCCAATATCCCATCCATCCCTGCCCTCTGGCAGTGGGAAGCCATTCCCTGTGTCCTGTCCCTCCATCCCTTGTCCCCAGTCCCTCTCCAGCTCTCCTGGAGCTCCTTTGGGCACAGGAAGGGGCTCTGAGTTCTCCATCAGGTAACTGACACTGATCCCTGGCACACCAGACAGGTGTTACTGCATCATCCATAAAACTCTGTGTCCATACAGCCCCTTGGAGAAAGAGCACAAGGCCAGGTAGCCAAGTCTTCTGCACAAGGAGCAGCAGCTGGAGGCCAGACAGACTGTCCTCTGAGGCCTAAAGCAGCCCTGATTCACAACACTTAGGTATGAACCTCTCCCCAGACATCCCAGTTGCAGACAGCTCCTGTCAGGAGAGCTGATCCACATGGCAGGAGCCTGCCTACAGCAGCCAGTGAATCCCAGAGCAGAATCCCTGAGCCATCACTGATCCCACTGGGATGCCCACACAATGCCAAGTGTCAACACTCTGCCTCATGTCCCACAGCAGTCTAGAAGCACGGCCAGCCCAGCAGCAGTGTCTGGCAGCAGCTGATGAAGCCAGAAACTTGGGAGGCAGAGCTGCCTGGTGCTGTGCTGATACAGCCACACCATTCCCAGCTGAGGGCGAGCCAGGGCTCCCTGCACGGCTGCCTCTCTGTGCACCGAGTCTGTGCTCCAAGGACCACCCCAGAACTTCAGCCCACAGCTTCCTGATGGGAGATAAAAGCCTGCAGAGGCGTTCACATGGTCAGATTTTACTCATCTTCTAGTTCTGTTTCATTCCAAACTCATTCCACTGCAACATGTTTGCTTACACGAAGACAAAGCTAACCAAAATCAATTTTCAGGACAAGGACATTAAAGGATGTTCTTTACAAGAGGATAGAAGAGTTCTTTGAAGAACTCAGAAGTTATCCCAAGTTCAGTGCAGGACCTCATTCTCATCAGCAGACTTCTGGAAGTTAAACTAATGGGCAGCAAGTCTCTATTTCCCCCAACTCTTTACAGCTCCTAAAATGCCAGTGGAAAGAAGGAAGATGCACAAAGATAGCACAGGAGCACAAACTGATGCAATCAGAAGGCTCCTGAAACCAGGAGAGGTGATTTACATGCTGGTGCCTAACTCTGGATGATTAAGTGCAGAGATGCTCTGCTGGGAAAGGGCAATCTCTCATTTGATCCTGAGGATCATCAATCATGTGATGGCAGATAAGAAGCCAGTGGAGAACATGGAAATTTTTCCCCAACCTGCAAAGCCCTCTGTCAGAGACTCTCTGTGACCACTCCTAAAGGCCTGTTCCAGTTCTCACTGGGTAGGAAGAGCTGCTTCTCTTTTGGCAGATCCACATCCTTCGCCTGTCCCATGGCAATTAGACAAAAATAAGCCTTTAATACTTTCATTCCTGGTTTTTCTGAGGAGCTCTAGGTCAGCAAGATAATGACCAATAAACCCAATTCCAGTTTTTATTTTTGGTAACCAAGCAGTCAGAAGGATTCATTCCAGCTGAAGAGCAGAAATGTGCTCACCCACATTCCCAAAAGCAACTTGTGACTGTGGGTAACGGTTTTGAACTCAGAACTTCTTGAATATCAGATCCTTGTGCAGACAGAAATTTTCTGTGACACTCCAAATTGTTCTGGTTAGTTCAGAAAAATTCGGCATTCCCACTCCAACCCAAGAGCTGGAAAACTCTATTAATACTGTCTGGATGGCAACAAGGTGTTCACATTCACACCCCACCAGGTCTGCTCCTCCCCATCTCACCTACACCTGATCCTGTCAGAGAACACCTAACTCAGACTTCCCAGCCACTTCAACTTCTCCTCATTTTTTAGGACAAACTTCACCCACCAGCTTGGTTTCCTGATTCATATGGACTACACAATGGTCATTTGTTTTAACCACTTCCTTCAGAAAAGGAGGGAAAGTCCCTCTCATATGGAAAAGAGTGTCAAATTTTTATTAGTGCAGGCTTTACAGTGATGATTCTAACTACTGGCTTGACTTTGTTTTTCCCTAAACTGGGTGAAATATTAGCTAGTTTCTAAGCTATGAGGTTTTAAAAATAGCATCAAAGAATACATTAAGAAAAGAATCTCCCAGGGCTTGGGATTTTTTTTTAAAGTCTTTGGAAACACATGATGGATAAAGTGATTCTTCCATTTTTCAGCAACTAATGCTGTTTCCACCACCTTCAGACACTCTCACTCCTGCTACCGAATTCTAATGAAATGCACATGCTGAGAGAGGTGTCTGGTGCTCTGCTGGCCATCGTGACAGCCCCAAAAGAAGGTCAGAGCATGAATCAGTGGGGCAACCATGAGTCGCAAACAAAAAAGGCTCCTGTTTTCACAGACGACAGAATAAACAATGATCAGAAGGAAAGCGGAGGATGTGACATGGAAAAAAAAATGTGGTTAAAGTTTGAAAAATACCAGCCTAGGCACAGAAGTTCACTTCTAAGATCCAGAGTCAAGGCAAATACCTCGTAGATGCCTTTAGAATGACAGGGTGAGTTGCAGTCTGCAGTTGCTGTCTGGGTTAGACACTCTAGGATTCTTTTCAACAGAGGCGGGGAAAACTTTAGTAGCAATTTCCTACTCTCATTAGCTTATCCTGTAAAGATGCAGTTTCTGACCATTCAAGCTCACATGATTCTCAGCTAATTTGAATGGGAGGAGGATCAAGAGGCAAGTCTGGTGCTATTCAGAGATTTGCCAAGTCAGTGAACAAACCTTTGCATATGCCCGTGAGTTTGGGCTCTGATGGTGACTCAGGGTTTGGCTGGGCAGCCTTCAGGGTGAGATTAAATTTTTACTTATCTAAAACAACCTACCTGGTCTATACTAATTCTTTGGGTTGCCCAAACAACCATCAAGAAAGAGATCAGTGCCTCCAGGGGATAATTCTTTCTGCCCCAGAGGGGTAGCCAAAAAGGGATAAGATTCATTAGGTACCTGTGACTCACACGTAAAGAAAGTCTGGAAGCAAGAGGGGAGAAGTGAAGACCATATTAGGCAAAGAATACACCCTTCAAACCTAAAATAGGGTGGTGATTTCAGATCCTTAATCCAAAACCACCCACAGGTAAACCAGCCTGGCTGGGACAGAGATAGGCTTAGTCTGGGTGTGTTACTCACAGGTACCAACTCCAGAGAATAGCATCAAATTTTGGTACTGGATGGAGGAAATAAACTGATTGTGGAAAGCTTCTTCCTAAATGCCTCCAGTTTATGTTTACATCCCTCTGCTACTCTGTAGCAGCTATGTATTGTGACCCTGCACAATAAATCCACTAATGTTAGTGAATTTTGTGTCATCTTTGATGATGCAATGATCCATAGCAGTGAATTCCCCTGTGCCTGGAGTATCTCAGAACCATTAAAGTTTCCTCACCTGCTGACATGCCCTTGAGCAAGGCATCCTGTCTGTCTTCTTTATTTCCCTCTTATTCTTCCTACCTGCAACCCAAACAGCAAAGCAAAATTAGCTGCAAAGCGCTTAATTAAAAAAAAAATAAATAAAATCTGGAAGCCTGACTAAACCACTGAAGCAAAAATCTCATGAAATTGTGTAAGCTTTGCTCTCAGACACTGCCAGCAGTGGCAGTTTATTCCTAGAAAGAGATTTCTGCATAAAGTGTCAAATGAACATCAGCTTGCAGCAGCTCTATCAATTATAATCTCCCTTTTAACCTGGATCTAAGAAAACAAAGCTTATGTCTAGACATGCCATAAGTGAGGGATGGGGAAAGGAGGGGAGATCTCCCCTAGTTAATATTTATTAACTTTCAGACAGTTTCAATAAAATTTGAGGGGGTGTCCAGAGTGCCCCAATTTCATGAGATCAGGCAACTGTTTAGAGGAAGAGGATCTTGTTAAAATCCCCAGAGCAACAAAAGTGGCAGGATGACTTAATTCTTTATTAGTCATCAGAGAATCGGCAGGAGAAAGACCTGCAAAGGTGATTTCACCGGCAGGGAAGCTGCTTCATCCTAGTGCCCGGCAATCCCAGGAATGCTATTTACTATTTTGTCACTAGATGGTATTGTTCCACAAGCTATATCCCAGAGCCTCGAAGGTCAAACACAGCATGGTATAGCAGAGGCTGGGCTGGTTTTAGGCACAGAAAAGGCTTTTTTTCTCATGTGTTTTCATGTATGTTTTCCCACATGGAAGTTATTAGCAAAAGTCAAACTGTAACAGCTAAAGGAAAAGAGCTCTGTTGAACAAGGAGATAATGTAACTTGGTTTTGATGATCTCTGCATTTCCTCCGTATCTCAAAAAAACTGCTGAGATAAAGAGGTACAAAGATACTGATACAAAATTAAATGTTTCTGTTAACAAACCAAGCATAATCAACGGGCCCTTTGTTACAGTTCAGTCTCTCACAAAGTTCAAACAGCCTGGCAAACTCTGCTCATCCGAAACCTAAATATTAGAGAATCACACAATCATGGAATAGGTTGGATGGGAAGGGATCTTAAACCCCATCCAGTTCTACCCCCTCCCATGGGCAGGGACACCTTCCACTATCCCAGGCTGCTCCAAGCCTCATCCAACCTGGCCTTGGACACTGCCAGGGATCCAGGGGCAGCCACAGCTGCTCTGGGCACCCTGTGCCAGGGCCTCCCCAGCCTCACAGGGAAAAAATTTTTCCTCTAATATCTCAAAAACCTATTGTAATTCACAACACTGAAAGACCTTACCCAGGACATTATGTGGAATACATTTTGCTGGGATACAATCAGGAGCAGAAGCTCCTTCAGTTTTGAAACTGGGCATTTACCTGTATCTTTAAGGCAAAAAGAAGATGCTTCTGTTTTCCTGCCTGGATGGGTGTCACTTTTGTCCCCTTCATGCTCATTGGAATCTGCTCTGACAGGGCAAGGGTGATTCTGTAAAGTAAAAGACATTTTGTCTAGATAATATAACCTAAAAAATACACCCAGGTGGTAAATCCATAAAGAAAATGTTTCTTTTAAGGAGGTTTTTGCTAGATAAACTCTGTTCCTCCAGTGAGAATCAAAGAGAGCTATTTCTATACCTTTGTGCTCTCTTCCTCCTCCTCCTCGCAGTCCAGCCCTTGGTGGGAGATCTCAGTAGGGCCATTCTTCTGGATCAGGTTGCTGTCAGCCTTCCTCACCCTCTTCTTCTCAGCTATCACTTTGACTTTCATGAGGTGGAAGTCAGTGGAGACTGAGCCCAGTCTCAGGTGGACAGGATCCCCAGCAAACAAGAAGTCACCAAGGTTGCCATCTTCCATGAAGCCAGGGGGCTGGTAATCCTTGGGTGTGACTGCACAGGGAGAGGAAACCCCATGAGGTCAGGAAAACCAAGTTCCATCTCTCCTTAGTCTGATTTAGAAAGAATAGTTATGAACCAGCTTCGAGTAACATTGATTACTAAAACTATTCCATGTTTTGGGGTCTTTTAGGAGGAAGGGACAGAATGCAAAGGGTAAAATGAGCTGAGCAAATGTTATCAGGGAGCTCAAAGAAAAAAAATTCTTCAGGATGCTGAGATACCATTAAAGTGCTGGAGCAAAACCTGCCATTCTTTGTTCCTTAAAGAAACAAACTCAATAAAACCCAAAAACCCAGGGAAGATGGATTTCTCCCTTTCACACCACATAGTTGTAGTTCTTATATGGATTTCAATCCTTTCCTCAAAATATCTGCCATCTCTGTGCATCAGAAAGATTTACTGTGTTACACCATTTCTCTGTGCTATCAGCCAACAGCTTCTTCCATCTCATCTTCTCTACACTTTATTTTATTCATAATATTCCATTAATATGATTTATTCATGATATTCCATTATTAGAGAGAATGATGGAATTCTTCCCTAAGGCACACACTGCTGTCCACCTACCATCGTTGTAGTAGAGGAGTTTCATGCTCAGGGTGATGTCATTGGGCAGAGGCCCGAGGTCCTGCATGAGCACGTACAGGCTCCGGAGCAGGAACCTGCTGGCCTGCTTGACATCCTTGCCGCACAGCCCAGCCACAAACTCCCTGTGGTTGCTACAATTGGAAGAATAATGGATTTGTTATCCTCAGTCATGAATATTCACGATCCAATTACACACACAGAGTACCCAGTGACTTGTCTGAAACCACCAGTGAAAAAGCTACAATGTCTTTATGTAATTTCCAGATAAACAGGGAAGTGAAACAGGCTCCAGGGATGGGGTGGCATCCGCAGAACACCCGCTCCAAACTCAGAGGCCTGGCATTTACATTTGAACAGACTTTGGAGCTGGGGCAACCATTATACAAATGTCATGACTCACTTGTTTGAACATGATTAAATTGGATCAAAGGACCACAAAACAAGTGCCTTTCACCTAAGCAATTTCAGGAACGAGAGGAATGAGTTGAGGATCCCATCTAAAGCCGATTCATCACGGGGGTTATTTTCAAGTCCATTCTGCAGTTTTTGAAGAGAAGTGAATTGCATGTTCTCACTCAATTCCATGTAAGAAAAAGCAGTTCAGAGGCACATTTTTCAGCAGTGACGAAGGGGCATTCCTCTCACCTCCTTCACACATTCAAATGTCAGCTGGCTGCTCCAAGCCAGCAGTCCAGACAGAGACCCATGGGTGACATGAGTGGGATGACTGGCACTCTAGAGAAGCTTGCTTCTCTTTGATTAAAACTGAGGTAGATGAGATGAGCAACTCAGAGCAGCCAGTTAATTTCAGACAGAGCAGATGAATCACTGTGTGAGTAAGGGATCTGAACTTCCCTAACTTTCAATGAGAAGGGGTCATAAAGATGTGTAGCTCCTTCATTATATCTTTGGAAGACCCCTGACACTACACATAGGCTGGAGGGTGCCCAACAAAATCAGCCCAAGTTGCATCAAAAGTAGTAAAAAAGTAACTCAAGAATATCCCAGAGTAAACCTGACTGACTGAACCTCAAAAAGAAACAAATTAAGACAAATTCCTCCTTCCAGTTGAACTTCTTTGGGTCATGAAAACTGGGCGGCTGTGGAACAGCTTGACTTCCCAAGGTATGGAATCACAGCATCATTTAGGGCTGGAAAAGACCTCTGAGATCATGAAGCCCAAACTCTGTGGTATTAGATGTGCATTGTGGTCCTTGATGAAATCCTGCATGTTCAGAAATGCACAGTGAGAGGAAAATGCTGGCAGTGCCTAAGGTAGAATATGCATCACCTTTACAAATTGTGGAATTAGCAGGTCAGAAATGGCAAGAGGAATGTCCATTGGAATTAATAAGTCAAGCACTGCTTCAATATGGGAATAACATTGAGATTTTCATGCAGGAGGGAGGCAAAAAGCAGAAGATAAGGAACTGAACCTTGGAAGGAGTGGGATCTGTGGCAAGAAGTTCGCCCAAAGTTCATCGAAAATAAGGCAAGGACCATTCAGGAGAAAGTTTCCCCTTACCCTTTGGATGTGATGCTGCAGCCCCACAAAATATCTCTCCCAGAGCGATTAACTCCGAGTTTGCACAGGACAACTGCTGCAGGTGTAAAAGGCAGTGTTATCAGCTGAAGGAGCTGACAGCAAAGATGACACAATTCCCTGATCTGTGCCAGAACTCTGGATTATTAAAGATGGCAGGGACATGCATGAGCCTGCCACAGCACTGCCAATCCCTGAGGAAACAGAGCCCAGGAATTCAGTGCCACAGGCTCTGGAGCCTCAGAGCACATTCAAACATGACAGGAAGATGGCTTGGCTTCTCCCTGTATGACACAACGGACACCCAAACTTCATATGGGGACTGTTCTTATTTCTAGGAATTAATGAGTAAGGTTGATTAAAACCCCAAAGTACTCAAGGACTATCTATTATCTTTCAAATCCCAGATCTCCTCCTCCCCTCAGTGTGAGGACAAGGGACAGCAGCTTTAAAGTAGAAATGGAGGGCACAGCCAAAAGGTCATTCCAGAGGTAATTCAGATTTGCCCAAAAGAAAATAATTTTGCCTTATGGTACAAATTATTTGGATGTGTTTAGAGAAAGAGCAGCTAAGGGCACACTCCAGGAGTTCTGGGGAGGAGCTTCCTGAGGAACACACAAGACAGTAGAGCTTTCTTGCTGTCCAGGCAAGTTCCAAGATCCCTCTTTCACCAGTGGCAACTGCAGAACAAACTAAAAAAAAGGTTAATTATTTTCCTTTGCTTTGGTTATAGCCAACGGCCTTTGATAGTATTTATTTGAAGCTCCACAGGATTACAGCCTACTAAACACAGCTTTAAATATCTAACAGAGAGTGCCAAAAAGAGGCAAAAAGCTGCTACTTCCTGCCACATGTTTTGCACCATTAGCTCAGGCATCCTAAGTGAAAGTTCTCTCAGGTCACCCACACAGGGCTGCTCAAGCAGAACACACGTATGCAAATGCTCAAGAGAAAAAAATCCTAGGCACAGGATCATGGTGGAAGGGCTCAAACACGAGCAAGCTTCATCTGAAAGCAAGAGGCTGTCTGGTGGAAGTGCAACAACACTTGTTGATAGCTGAGACAGCAGCAAGCTCAACAACTGGGCTGGTTTCTGCATCACCTCCCAGATGAGGCACCACTTCTGTCAACTGTCCTTGGCTCAGGTGTACTTTGGGGGCCTCATGGTGCTATGAAAGAGCATTTCACTTCATCCTCCCAGCAGTTCATACCCTGTAAGGTGAATATCCTCAACTCTGATGGTATTTACAGCTGCTTAATGACTTGGACCTGCTCAAACCACAGAATCACAGGATAGTTTGGGTTGGAATGACCTTGAAGTTCATCTTGCTCCACCCCCTGCCATGGGCACAGACCCCTTCCACTAAACCAGGTTCCTCCACCCAACCTGGCTTGGACAATTCCAGGGATGGGGAGTCTACAACCTCTCTGGGCAATCAGCTTAATGCTTCAAAAATACAGTTTTTAGTGTAACCCTGAGAAATCAGCCCAAATCCTTACCTGCAGATGTCCATCTGGGGCACCTTCTTTTTGTACTTGAATTTGAATTGATACATTTCAGTGACTGTCTAGAGATGTAACGAGAGGAGAAGCAGAAATGGATCACTTTCAGAAACAAGATGTATCCTGAACTTGGAGAGTCTTTTCACACTCTCTGCCAGAGCATAGCATTAATTTAGTGACATGCTGACAATTTTAACTCTATTGCTGCTTGCACAAGCTTTGGCAAATTCTCTTAGCAGCCACATCTTACCTGGAACTGAACAAATCACAACAAAATTACAAACTTCCTGCCTCCTCCTTCCACTTCCTCTGTGAGCCTGGCTCTCCAACTTCAGTCTCTAGCAAGGCTCCAGGGCTGGCCAATCCTGCCAGTGTCCCTTGCTATAGGAAAACTGGGAAGCTGCACAGGTGACCAGTGTCACAAGGAAGCCTGGCCCCATGCTCTGTATGGGGGCAAGGGCCTGGAGGACTCTTCCCACAGGAAAATCCAAACAATATTGCACTGGAAAAAGTTGCTGAATTTCACCGGTCTTGGAGTCTTTTTGAGGTAGACAAAAATAGTGGATGATTTTCCATTTAAAAGAATTAGAGAATAAAACAATAAGGAAGAACAGACAGCTTCCCCCCAAGAGAAAGGGTCTATTGTACACCAATTCCATGCCTATAATTCACTTTTTCCAGAGACAATGAAGTTGATTAGTAGGAGCTCAGCTGAGCTCTTAACTCTGAGCCTTCCTTGCAAATCCCAGCCTTGGCATGGCTCAGCTCCTGCTCTGTCCCCAAACTCTGAGGTGCCATGCAGCAGAACTGGAACCAGGTTCAAGTGCAAAAGGTCTGAAGCTGTTTTCTGATCTCCAGCTTGATGCAGAGCCTCACTCCTGGATCACACCTCCCAGATGAAACCAAACAGAAACACAACAGGGAACACTGAGAGGCCAAGGCCAAGGACAGGCATTACCCAACACATCCATCCAGGTCTGAAGGGATTCCTGACTTCTGTCCTACACCCCTGCACGACAAACCAGCTCTTTTCATCAGGGCTGTTAAAAAGGTGGTTTGCAAATGAGTAATGTTGAACTTCCCATTTTTTCTCTTTGGGAAACTAAAACAAAACTGTGAACATGCCCATTAGTTGTCTGCTAACATGCCTGCCTGAGGCCCTGGTGGGCCCTCAGCCGGGTGTTTGATCACAATGCAGCTCACTGAGCTGGCACTCTGGAGTGAAGGCACAGGAACAGAAATGGGGTCACCAAGGAGCTATGTCAGGGTAGGACTTAAGCCTCCACTCCACTCTGAATATGAATGTACTCACCCATGCCTTCAGCTGCCTTAAAGATTAATTAAGACTCTTACCTCAGGATTGGTGTAAATCTGTTACAAGAAAGCACAGTGAGGGCATTCTCCCTGAGACAACTTGAACCAGTGACTAACAAGGATATTTTCAGTTTACAGCAGAGACTGTGCTATCTTTAGTGTGGGATCAGAGAAAGGAATTGCTGCGAAAGAGCTTCTTCTATCAGCAATCCATACTTACCACTTCAGAGACAGGTAGAAGACACTCATGTGTGCAATACTGGAGGAATGAGGTTAGTTCCTATTCCAACTCTCACAGGCAGCTATTGATGCCTGGGATTTAACTGCTCAGATGATGCATAGAGTAGATGGTGAGCAAAGCTCCTGGTGCTTTGCAAGGGGTTAGGGCCAACAACTGCCTATGGAACCACCAGTGTGTGGTTTCTCCAGGATCAGATTAATAAGGAGGACTCTTCTGCAGGGGGAAAAGGAGACCACATGGCAGCTTCCATGATAGGAATCACATGCAAGTGCCTCTCAGAGTTTAAGGACACAAATAAGGCCTCAGTCAAAAGTCAGACATGCTGAGAAAAATACATTCCCATGCAGCCTTGAACTCCACATTTACTGTATCTAAGAAAGGTCACAGCTCTATTAAAAATCACAAACATTTTGGCTTCTCCTAAAAAAGGCATAAATGGGTTGACACAACCTTGACTCTGTATCTCTTTCAAGAAGGGGATGGGAGAGAAAACCACTTTGTATTCATTTACTTACTGCAAGGACAGCCACGTGTAGCTAAGGAGGGAAAATCAAAACAAAACACAAAATCAACATCTAACCTTAGTGGGCAAGTAAAAGCAAGTCCTATCAAACCCCGACTGCCTACTCAGGGAGAAGAAATAGATACACTCAACAAATCAGGAGTTAAAACCTTTTTTGCAGATTCTTCCCAGCACAGCATCAGCAACACCTAGTGGCCAGTTTGCCTGGCTTGATTCACAGTTTCCCAAAAAAACAACTCCATGCTCAGTAATCTCCCTTGGGACTCCTTTCAAACAAATCCCCAAATACTGAATTAAATCTCTTTACAAGGGCACCCATCCCTACTGAAGGTTAATATTTGCTTTCTGTTAGGAAATTCCTCAAAGGTATTTAATTTATGCTCTATCAAGCAGTTGCATATGGGACTGCCCTTAAAAACAATCTTAAAACATGCATTAAATCCCTCAGTTTTTCCTTAATCCTTGTCAAACAATTAATTTATGTCTCTCATAAATAACAAAGGGCTAAATACCCCCTAGAGCTGTCAGTGAGCACTAACCTGTGTTCACAACATTGTTAATTATCTTGTGCACACTGACAGCTGTACTGATGTCTGAGAATCACTCAGATAATCACTGCCAGAACCAGTGCCCCACCTGGTTTGGAGGAGCTGGGCTGGTGAACAGTGCTGACACAGAGGACAACAACTGGTGCTTTTTCCTGTGCAGGGCAGTTTTTATGTGAGAATCAGCAAGGAATATGAGCACTCACTAGGTGGTTTTGTCCTGCAAGCAGCTACATACCTTATTTGGTGAATTAAGGGGAAAAAATAAAGGGACAAATTCTGAGCCTGAGAGAAAAGCCCGGAGGGTTAGAGAAGATAAGGGGAAAGATCAGGGAAAAGGAGATGAAGGGCAGCAGAAGCACAGAACTCTCCCAAAGAAAAAAAAACAGGCAGGAGATCCAGATCTCAGCTCTGCCTGGCAGGGTCTCTATCAGACATCAGAGAACACAAATGTAGAGTACAGAATTAAGGGAAATCCATTGCAGGCTGAAAATTGGTTCCCACACCATGGACAGGAGAGCCCAGAGAAAGTGGACAGGATTTGAGCTCAAGGCATAAAATCCCAAATCTCATACTCAGGGCAGGGTCTTTCCCCTGTCCCACAGCTGTAGAGGTTGTTGTGTGCATCAAAGATCACAAGAGAAATACAGCAGGAATGGAAGGATAGTTTTGTCCTTTATAAAGAAATAGGACTCTCCATTAAAAAGTGAAAAAAACCCCACTTACATACTGCTTCTCCAAAGCATCAAAACAACCTTGAATCCTGCCAGGGAAAACAACCATGTTAATACTAACCAGCAACATTTATCTCCTGATCCGTAAACACACTCATTAGATGTGGGTTAAAGGGCATTTTTTCTGGAATTAGGACAACACAAGCATCAACATTTGGGGCTTGTGAAGTCCTTTTCAGGTCAGTGCTAAAGGTAGCATCCTTCTTTCTGCATCTGTGCATTGTTTATACTTCTGGGGCATTATCCTGTCAGCCCAGAGCCTGCTTGAATCCTGACAAAGACAAGGATTGGAGGCCAAAGGCTCTGAGTGTGTCCCTGCTTAGTGCTCTGTTCCAGTTCCCCAGCCAGAGCTCTGATGGCTCTTTTCCCATCAGCCTTGTACAGAGCTCGGCTCAATCTGAACATGTCTGGTCTTGTAAATCTTTGTTATCTGATGTAGAATTTACAGCAATGGATTTTCTCAAAGTAGTAAATATTTGAAGCAGAAATGGCCATATCTTTGACTCCAGATGCTCTTGGAGTCAAAGGATGTGCAGTAAAGTATCTCCTTAGCACATCAGGGACAGTTTTGCTGCTTGTTGGGAACATGCCAACTGTGAAATACATCCTGAAGAAAACTGTGGGGTTCTTAGAGAGGGAGATAAAATACTGTACATACTGAAAAACAAGTGCAAGAATCCCTATCAAAGTGAAACTAGAAAAGACTTAACACAACAGAAAGGATCTCATGACAGTCTTCACCCTCTCTCTGCCCCTCAGCTGCTGCATGCGCTCTGGGGCCTGACCATGACCTCACTGCAGCCAACATTTCCACAGACCTTGAACTCACATGATCTCTGTCACTAATTCTGTCCTATTTACATGGGGACCAAGCACCCCCAGCTGCAGTGGGAGCTCCCCTGGCACCAAGGCACAATGTTTTCCAGTTCAGGAAGAAGAAGAATGCAGGGGCAGATGTCTCCTACTCAGCACAATCTTGTCTTGGTTTCACTGTTACTCACTTACCACTTGACTATCTGCAGTGATCCCAGACAGCTTTTATCTTCTCGGAGAATTTTTAGACAGAGGTCTGCAAAACCAGATTTAGCACATAGTTACAATCCTTATCACAGCTCTTGGGCAAACACTGAAACTAAGCCAGTCCATCCTCCCTTTTTTGGATACAAGCTTTATCTGAAGGTCCCTCCTGAGTGGAAATGCTGGGTTTCCACCGAATCCCAGGTGGGCTGACACAAGTTTATTGCTGGGTTTGCAAATGTCAATGCTCTCCTCAGAAGCACTGTGCTCTCCCAGAAGAAGGGATGGAGTTGTAGCTTTTTTACAAAACACCAGCACTTTCATCCTTTCTTCCCTCCTCTTCTCCACTCCATCCTCAACCATTCCCTAACACCTTCCCTTCTGCATTCAGACTTCACCAACATCCATGTGATGTCCCAATGACTGTGCTCACAATAAACTTCCTGTGAAGCTTTTCCACACAGCCCCTTCTACCTTGTGCTTCCAGGCATTCAGAATGGCAAAAGGCACACCTGTCCTACAGGTGAAAAGGGGCTTTATAACACCTCAGAACACAACCAAGGGGCCCTTGAAGATGTCAGCAGGCCAGATGTTAAGACCCCTCATGAAAAAGGCACTAGACAGACCTGACATTGACCAATGGCTTTTCAGGCTTAGGGGATCAAGAACCAATTTGGGATTTCTGTGCCCTCAACCAAATCTACAAAGTACATGTGAACATGTTTCAGGGCACCTAATGCCATAAGGGACAACATGGAAATGGACTGGAATGCATGGAGACATCTCACACTTTGAATGATCATAAAGATGCTCATGAATCAAAGCACCACTAATTCTTGGGATCGCGTGACAAGAGTTTGGTTCTGAAAGTCCTTTTCTTTCCTTAAAAAGTCTGATTCCCAAAGCATGTATGAGATAGTTTTCATGGAAAAACAACCCAAATCCCAACAATGAAATTGTTTTAAACTGAAGGAGGGATGATTTAGATTAGATGCAAGTAAGGTTTTTACAATTAAGATGGTAGAACACTGGAACAGGTTGCCCAGAGAGAAGGTAGATGCTCCATTCCTGGAAATATTCAGGGTCAGGTTGGATGGGGCTTGGAGCAACCTAGTCTACTGGAAGGTATCCCTGCCCATGGCAAAGGGTTGGATTTGATGGTCTTTAAGAGGTCCCATCCAACCCAAACCATTCTACAATTCTATGAAAGCTGACAAATCTAATTTCAGCCTCCCAATGAAAACTAAAAATGTGAACTTCATGGGTTCAAAGGTCCAAAAGAAAATAAAACATTCCAATAAGAGTAAATTTTTAAAACTTCCTGAGTTTAAAATCACTCTCCTGGCTCTGAGACCTTATTCATGGGGCTGGAAATGCCAAGGAATGACTCTAAACCAAGAGGAACACCACCAGAGAAGCCAGGAGCTCAAGGCTGTCTGCCATGCTCTCTGTCAGAAGTTCTGTCTGCACCCAGACTCGAGAAGATTTGAGAATTGGTAGCCAGCTCCCACCCAAAGTGAACTCACACACATGCACAGCCAGAAGGTAACACACAAGCAGATTATAGGTAAAATACAGTGAGTAGAAAGAAGCACTCAGCACAAACTGCAGGTGTTACCATCCAGATAGCGAGTGCAGTAGGAGCCCTCTGGGAACAGCCCTCTCATGTAGGTTATGCAGGACACAGAGATGGCCAGGAGCCTTTTCACCAGCACCAGGGACTGCTTCTCTGTGGTGATGCTCTCAGGGAACAGCACTGCTTCCTGGAAAAGTATGGCAAGGACAGAAATAGCACCTTCTTAACTATAACACAGATTATATTTAGAAACAAGTCTCAGCAGGTGGGAAGAGGGTAACTTAGAAATGTAATTTTAAGGTTTCTCTGGTGTTTAAGCTAGGCAGGGAAGACTTGTGTCTGAGGTGGGTGGATTAGATGATTTAGGGGTAGAGATCAATAGATCTGATGTAATTACTCAGATGCAGAGTGCACTGGTTGGATGTGCCCTCTCCTTTATCACATTCCCACCCCCTCCACTGCACCAATGCTGGCACTTAACAGACAGCCACCCCTCAAAATAGGTGTGCAATTTTAATTTGGTGTCACACAAGCACCAGGCCTGGTGTGGCAACCACTGCTGCACCAAAGGCTGCTGGTCTGAGCTCTGACAGAAGCCTAAGTTGCCAACAGAGTGATTCTAACTCCAAGCTGTAAAATAGCACCTGGAGCTACAGTAAATATGCACTGTGTGATGCCAACACGAACAATGCAGTGGACACTGCATAAATTTAGTTCTTCTATTACTTTATTGCTGTTCTTCCTCCTCATAAAGCTCTGTGCACACCTAATGAGCCTGCATTTATTGAGTCAAATCATGTCAGAGCCCCACACTCTGCCTCTCACTGAATTGGAATTAATCCAACTAAGCACAGTGCAGACAACAAAAAGTGTTCCCACCTCCGCAGGCACAAGTGCCAGGTCCCAAACTGAGAGCTAAGATTGTCTGCATCACCATATTTGAATTTTTTACCTTACAGGGCTTTTTCTTTTGCTTGAGTAGCTGTTGAGTAGCCATCCTGTGTTTCAAAAACCCACTTGTAACTAAACCCTGAAAAATAAAGAAGGTATGAGACACGCAGAAAACACAGTTACTGCTATTTCTCATCTATATTAAAGTAAGAATGAGATTCCTCAGAGTTTGAAAGCTAATTGCCAGGCAGGACAGGAAAAGTAAAGCAAACCAAGGATACACCATGGCACTGAGCCTGCAGAGCATGAAAACTCCTGCTCACTGGTAAACGATCAATAGCATTTGAAATTCAGGGCCACAGCTGCACCTGGTGTCAGTTGGTGCCACTTCAGAATGCATTTCTCATATTCCAAACCACAAATGTTAATTCCTACAACCATTAGGAAGTGTGAAGGGGGAATGTGAAAGAACTGGAGGTCTGCCAGTAGCAGTTAATATTTTAGCAAGGGTAAGCAGGAAACGTGCTAACATCGGTCTTGGCTGGAATAAGGGAATGATTCTTCTGGGGCACCTCGAAAGGTTAAAAAAAAAAAGAAAAAAAAGAAGAGTCCAAATTGTTTCACTTAGACAAGCCTGGATTGAAGAGGAAAATACTCATTTTACCAGAAGAGAGCTGATTGATACAGGCAATAACGCTGGATATTCCACGTTTCTCACTTGAGTGAGGTGCTTGATTTAGCACCACCTGACAATCCTGATTAAAAACTTCCATTAGCTGGAATTAACAAGGCCTGCGTTAACTGGTTTGAAAAATGACTTGCTGGGAGATCTCCACATCTCATTGTTAATGGGGGATATTAATGAAAGGAAACACCACGATCAGCTCCCAGAGGGATGCTGCCATGTCCACAGCCAGTTGACTTCCCCAGTAACAATTAAAGTAATAGCACAAACACTGCGGGGTGATTTAACTCCTGACCTAACGCAGCCTTTTATTAACTCAGCTGATCCAACCTTGTTCAGCATTTGCACCTTTTGTGCTTTTCTTTTTCCTCTGGAAGCCTCATTTCCATTTGTTGGCAGTCATTAAGACATGTTGATTGGAACATGGTGACAGTTTTTATGCTAAATTTAGTGCTTCATTTAGTAATGAGGACAGATTACAGCTATAAAAGTATATTTAAACAAATACACACCTGCAAAATTTTTAACATGTTAAATATTTTAGCAAAGTAGCTTTTTTTTCTACCCAGGCAGTGTGAGGACTGGAATGCAATCAAAGCAGACAATGGTGTTGTAATTACAACATGAGGTTATTAACTAAATATAGCTGATTTAGGTGAGAGAAAAATGTAAGAAAACATGTTTTATAAACCATACCACATTTATATTGATTTACTGAGGAGGAAACATCACCCAGACCAAGCTGAGCCATTACGGCCCAGCTGTTCAGGTACAAGGTACAACACTGGCACCAGTGTCTCACCGGGGCTGGAAGGTCACAAGTTGCCCTGGAACTCCAATGATTCCCCACTCTACAGCCACCTTAGCACCGAATATCAGCAATTTAGTACTAAAAGGGAAAAAAACGAATTCATCCTCAGGAATCTGCTGCTCTCCGACACCCTCAGCCCTGCACCCCTCACTCTGCCCCTTGTGCTTGATGTTGGAAAGGTGAGGCACCACAGCCCTTAAAAAACAGCCATGGCTCCAAAGATGGGTTTACTCTTTTTTGGGGGAAGTTCCTGGGGGGGATTTATGAGTGGAAGCCCAGGCCCGGCCGGAGTCCACACGGGGCCGGGTCCTGCCCCTCACACGGCAGCATCGGGAGCAGCCCCTGAGACCCAAGGGGGGCGGCGGGGCCGAGGCGCGGGAGCCGCCAGGCGCTGAGGGAGCCCTGAGGGGCGAGGGACGCCCCTGAGGCAGAGACGGGTTCCCGTGGGGAACAGCAGGTGCTCCCTGAGGTACCTGGGGTCCCCTGAGGCGCTGGGGAGCGCTGTGAGGCACGGGCGGTTCCTCCTGAGGCACTGAGGGGTCCCTCAGACGCTCCGGGCCCCTGAGGCGCAGAAAAGAGCTCCCTAAGGAGCCCCTGAAGCGGGGGGGGGGGTGGTGTGTCCTCCTCAGGCGCGGGAGACCTGAGGGCGCAGAGGGCTGCCCTGAGGGCTCTCCTGAGGGTTCCCCTGAGGGCGCAGAGGGTTCCCCTAAGGGCGGACTTGGCCTGCCCCAGTCCGGCCAGGCGGTTTCCCTACCTACACCACCCACCACGGCTCCGCGGGCTCCTTCGGCCACGGTGCCGCCGGACCCTCGGGCGTGGGCGGTGCTGAGGGCGGACGGAGGCGGGGGCGGCCCAACCCCAGAGGCGGAGACTTGAACCCGCCCTGAGCCTGACCCTGCCCCTGGCTTGTCACCTGTCCCTGTTCCCACGGCTATGCCTGCCCTTACTCTGCCCTTGCTTCTGTGTCTGTTCCCTGCTGCCCTGTCCCAGGAACTCGGGCAGGACAAGGTCCTGCAAAAGCACGGCCATGGAAGGGGCTGTAGTGTGGAATCATTCCTGTCTAAAATCACTTTATAGTAAAGTACTGGGTTTATTAGCAGCATATAACCCCAAAGGAAGTGCAGTTTTAAGTTACTCAAATCCACATTTTTAGAATACTTTGGTGCTTTTCTAGGGAAAGGGAGACTTACTATGGTCCCAACTCAAAGGCATCAGGAACTTCACAAGGAGCAGAGTATTTTGGAGCCAGTGTCATAACCTAGGCAAGGAGGATGACTTTGCTATTTCACTAGTATCTTATTTACAGAATAATCTGCCTAAACCAATTCTCCCCATCTCCAGGCAGTTTGTTACCCTTCAGATACAGAAACATATTTTTTCCTTTTCATTTCTACTCCAAGCAATTCAGGGGGTGCTGGTGAGAGCACACCTCTCAGTTTCCCAGTTCCCCCAGCTCTGGAAATGCCAGTCTGTCCAGTTATGATGATTTGCCCAGCTGATAGGGGAGAACACAGTGTTTCTTGATTACTTGTATTTTTCCGGGCCGTTTTCTGATCTCTTTCCAAAGACCTTTTCCCTAGTTCACTTAACAACAGCTGCTGAAAAGCTCCTCCCTGAGGGAGGAGAGAAGATCTCATTGGTTTTTCAAGAATAACTTCACAGCACTGAAAGCAGGGCTGGTGCTGCTGTTGTGTGAGGAAGGGTCTGCAGGTGAGAGCTGTAGGTGTGATCCCCAGGGCATTGCTGGATCATGTTTGCCTGTAGCCCTAGTGGAGATCCAGTGCCACCTGCCAATCATGGAAATCAGGTCACTTTTTGCCTTGGGACAGGTGCCAAATGCTGAGCATTAAAGGAAACAACACGACCGTGGGGCAGGAGCAACAGGCCAGCATGAAGGAAAAAGAAGTGTTAGAAGATCTGGAAATACACCTTGCAAGGAGAGACACGGAGGCCCTCTTCCAAGAGCAGCCTGGGACTGGGAACCCGTACTTGGAAGACACTTTGCTTCAGAGTTACTTGAAAACACACCTTCCTCCCAAGGTCTGTTTGTGTTTCTGTGTGTACCCACCATGGCTCTGCCAAGTTGCTGTTTCAGACTCTGAATTGAATGTTTGTCTGAGCCTTTTTGTGCCTTTGAGTGTTTAACTGGAGGGAATTTATCAGCATTCCTTAAAATTTGTTGTGTTTGAGGGCAGGGGTGACAAACACTTCCAGGACACACACAGCAACTGGCTCAGTGGTCTCCTGGGACTGGGCTGGGTGTTGTAATGCTGTTTGGGGATTGTCAGTGTGGGCATTTTTTGTCTGGTCACGTAGAGAAAGGAATTTCTGAGAGAGGAATCAAATTAAGATGCTTCCAAACTTTGCTTTGTTCTTCCACCTCTCTTCCTAGGGAAAGAGGTGTTTTAATGAAAATTCCTGAGGACTGGGGCTGCTCTCAGCTGAGTACTCAAGAGGGTGGAAAGGCCCCTTGGGGCTTGCTTGTTCTCTGCACAGGTCGGTGGCACTTCTGGGTTCATTTTTCAGCCAGGAAAGGCTCCGTATGGATTTCAGGGGTGCATATGGGGATGTGGGGTGAGGCCCCAAGCTCTTGATGTCTGTGCTGTGAGCTCCAGTTCTACAGGAACCCCTGGGAGGAGGTGGCTCACCTCTGGCTGGCCTCTGCCATCACCCTGAGAGCCACAAGTGCTTCCCACTTTTCAGGGAGCAGTTTTCATGGAGGCACAGTGTGACCTCTTTCCATGATTTATTCCAGCAGAAGCAATGCCATGACTTCTAAAGCCACCAGATGAGCAGAGGGAAGGGGACCTGGCTTTCAGTGAGGTCCCCTTCCCCTGTTTGCTCTCCAGGTCTGTGAGGCCTGGCACACAGGGTGGGAAGAGTGTGGTGGCAGTGCTGGGAGCTTGTCACAGCCATCCCTAAAGAGAGGAACGAGGCCTCCCTGAGCACCACCGTGGCCTTCTTGCCAGAAGAGAAGGCAGGAAAGGAGGATGCCTTTGGGTAACTGTTAAGATCCTGCTCCTAATCTGCACTTTTGGAAGAAGCATGATTCAGGTCTCCCAGAGAATAAAAGGATTAGTACAATAAGGCTGCTCCCACTCCTTCCCCAAACTGAGAAGAGTGGCTCCAAAATCTCCCAGAGAACCGGGAGCAGTATCTCCCTTTCATTTCTGCACTCAGTCCCAGTGGGGCAGTGTTGCCTCACTGCTGGAAAGGAGAGCCCAGGCTCTGCCTGCAGCGCTGAGAACCTGCTCTCCATGGGAGAACCCTTCCTCTCCAGAGCAGCAGCAACCCCTGAAGCTGTGTGTGTCCCACCGAAGCTGGAGGCTGATTCCTGTTATGCTCTTCCATGTCAAACACAGAAATTTTCTTGAAATGGCACAAAAATTTTCTTTCTCTGTTTGAAGGTGATTTAAGGAGAAGACAGAATTAAGCACCTGCTTTTTCTGGGTGTTGTGAAGAGGAATCTACCAGGATTTGCTGCCCTGAAAATACATCCTTTAATATAAAGGATATCTATTTGTACTCCTAATGTGCATTAATTTGCACATTTCCCATATCTTAATGCTTGGGACATCAAAGGACAGATTAGGGTGAATGGAACCACCCAGCAGCCTCAGCCCTGACCCAAATAATTTTGTCTTCTCCACATCCCAGCATCCATTCTTTGGAGCACTGAGGCTGCTAGGTGTGACATTCAGCAGTCACAAGTGCAGGAGTTTTTATTTTGTTCTTTCACCCAGGAAATAAATACATTTTTTTGGGTAATTCAGTGGTTTGTCAGGCTGTGTGTGGTCAGGGCATGAGCTCCCAGTGAGGCTGTTGGGGGATTTTAGGAAATATGGATGATGGTGAAAGGATTGTTGAATGAATTCGGGCCAAGAGATCGTGGTAGACTCATGTACTGCCCACAAAAACCCACTAGGTCAACGGTTCAAAGATTCTTGTGCTTCAGCAAAGTCCATGAACTTAGAATTCCTGGGTTATGCCTTGAAAACAGCTTTCAAATTGTTGTGATAAAGATTGGAGGTGCACACCCATGGCAAATACGGGTGTGGCACGAGCTGGAGCAGCTGACAGGCTCTCGTGCATGGTTTTGGCTTGTTTTGTGATTTTTAACGTGCTTTCACTGTTCAGCTGAAGGAAAACTGGCTGGTCTGAGGGTGGAGACTTTCAGAGTGGCACCTGGACTGTTTGATCCTCATCACACATGTGGAGTGGCAGAGGGAAGAAGGAATCAATCACACAGGATGTAGATTAATGGAAGGTCAATACAGGGACAGGCAGGGAAAGGAAAATGTCATCTTTGTATTTCATCAGCAGGAAATTAATGGGGTTTATAACTGCACAATTATGGGTGCAGCAATTATGGCGTTCACCTCCTTCATTATTTTATTGAGGAGGGAATGAGCATCTCGTGAGAGGCAGAGAACAGCAAAAAATATTCCTCTCATGGAAACAAATCGGGTGCTTCTTTGACTCCAGCACAGTCTTGGATGTGTTTAGGCCAATGAAGTTAAACAGGGCAGGAGGTTGGGTCTTCCTTGCCTGATTTTTCTCATCTAATATTCAGGTTATTTAAATCTAGGTAACTTCACTTGGCTTTGCTCATAGACATGGAAGAGAACTTGCAAAAAGGCAATTCCTGTCACCCTGAAATAGGGATCTGAGGGAGTTGGAATGAATCACTCCTCTGAGTGCTGGTTTCCCTCCATTAACTATGGACATATTACTCCATCCAGGTCAGCAAGGGCACATGAATCCTTCAGGAAGCTGGGTGCAGGGTGGGAATTTGAATCTGGACATGTTGTGTGCCAGGCTGAAGCTGAAAAGACTGCTCCATCCCTCCTTTTCTAATCTGACAGGCAGGTAGCTGCTGATCCCAGTGGAAGTTTTCCTGTACAGATGAAGGCATTCAGCTTTTGGCAGCCCTTCCCCTGGCATTCTTCTCCAGCAGTAAATCACAGAGCGGCTGAGGGACCTCTGGAGACCGTCTCGTCCAACCCCCCTGCTCTTGTGCATCTGTGTCATTCTCAGCCTTGACACTAAAGTGCTTCTGTCTTTTGTGAAATCCAGACACGCTGCCAGAAGTAACTTGAAAAAATGATTTTGAGAGAAAAAAGAGAAAAAGTGACAGCAGAGCACAGCTGTGCCAGCAGAGGCTGAGGGAGCTGTCGTGCTGTGTAATGGAATGCATGGAAGGGCCAAGTGGCAAGAGACCACTGGCACTGCAGGATGACATGGTCATTCCTCTGCCCTTCCAGCTGGGACTGAGGCTGGGATGTGCTGAAGGGCTCTCCTTGTTGCACAGGTCCTAGAGGAGGTGCATCAGGATCTGGAGAGGTTTGGAAACCGCCTGCTGACCAAGATCCAACCTCTGAGCTGGGAATGTGAGCTGAACCCCCCTGTGTTCCGGCAGTACGATGCCTGGGGGCGGCGCGTGGATCGCATCCACACCTGCTCAGCGTGGAGGAGGATGAAGGAGATTTCAGCAGAAGAAGGGCTGATTGCTGAGGCCTATGAGAAAAGATACTCCAACTGGAGGTAATGGGGAAATTGGGAATGACTCAGTGCCTTCCTGATTGTTCTTAGCAAGGTTTATTCAGCATTTTGCAGGACTGAGCTGGTTGTGTAACTGGTAGCAGATGCTGTACGGACACCAGCACACCTCCCACTGTCCCCAGCAGCTCTGTCTGTCCACTGCAATGTTCCACCTCACCAATGATAAGCCATAACTAATGGCCCACACTTGATCATAATATTCTTTGATGTCACCTTCCAGATTGTGGGGCCTGGCAGTTCCCTGCACCATTCCAGCTTTGTGTGTGTTAGTTGTAATGCAGCTAAAGATGTGGAATTTCACTTGCAGGTTTTTTGTATTCCACACCATGGAGACAGACCCACATTTCATATTAAAAACTGCACAGGCTGGCCTAGTGCTGGCTGTCCCACTGGGACTGAGAAACTCTGCTGCTCGTCTTTCCTCTCCCTGGCTGGAAGAGTTTTTCTCCTCTCAGAGAAAATTTCTGAGCGTGGTCTCAGAAATGAGTGGTCTGATCCTCACCCATTCTGGGTGTAATTTTTCCTCTCTTCCCAGTCAAGATATTTCATCCTCCTGCTGTTGCACTGCTGTGTAACCCGCCTGTTTTCCCTCTGTCTCTCCCTCTCCCAGCCGCCTGTACCAGGCTGTCAAACTGTACTTGTTCTCAAGCTCCTCTGGAGGTTTCAGCTGTCCACTGGCCATGACTGATGGGGCAGCCAAAGTCATTGAGGTATGAGCTTGGCTGGTCCCTGAGGGAGCAGCCCACGTCCTGGCACTGTGGGTTAGAGGCAGGAGCACCAGCCAAGGATGGAGGAGCACTGATCCATCTGGTTCTGGGCACGGCCCTTCCTCGCTCTGTGACTCAGCTCTGTCTCCCAATGCCTTTCTCTGTTAGGGACAAAGCCTTTGTGCCCATGCCAGCTTTTATATTCACTGACAGCATCGTGTTCAATAAGGCCTTTGCTGCACATAGCACCTGTGGCACTGCAGGTAGCTGGAAAGGTGTCCCAAATATAAATGTCCAAGGCTTGGAGCAACCTGGTATAGTAGAAGGTGTCTCTACCCATGGCAGGGGCAGGGGGTGGGGCTGGATGAGCTTTAAGACCTCTTGCAACCCAAACAGTTCTGTATTTCTATATTCCTATGTTATGTTTTTACTACAAGGTAATTTGTTTTCCCATTTTTGTGTGGAGTGGCACTTAGATATTATAGAGCAGATCCATACCTGATGTAAATTCACCAAACCACCACGACTTAACAATTGAAACATTTGGTTCTGCATCTTAGTGACCCCCTCTGCATTGCCTCTGCCTACATAGGATTCAGAGGAAAATATTCCTTAGGTAGCCAACCCTGGGCATTTTAATTCACCAAAACTTAAAGCAGCACAAGGCAGTTCGCTCTTCCTTGCAGCTCTCTGGGTGCTGGTGACATCCAGTGTACATGAACCTGGCACATGAGCTGTTTGAGACCTCTCTCTCCAGAAATCCAAGGGGATAGGGATGCTCAGCACTCTGTGTAGTACAGGTCTGCACCTTGTGTCTGCACAGTGCTGCAGCAGCTGGTGGGAGCTGGGCTGGCTCACAGGCTCTCAGCAGCACCTGCAGATGCTCTGTGGTGCAGGACACCCACCTGGCTTCCAGACTGGCATGTCTGAGCCCTGAACACACCAGTTAAGGCAACTGTCTAATGTCAACTATTGGGTTTTGATCATCTCAGTTTATTTTCCCTCCCCTCAAACAGTCACTGGGTATTCCTGGATCTCTGAAAAACGCTTTTGACCATCTGACATCCCGTGACCCTGAGAAGTTTTGGACCTCTGGCCAGTGGATGACTGAGCGAAGGGGTGGCTCAGATGTTGGTAAGTGCTCTGGGGAGGGAACAGATATGGCAGTGAGAACTGAACACAAAGGATGTGGGGAACCTAAAAAGCCAAGGAGCTGGGTTAGGACTTGAGTAGAAATCATCCAAATCCTCTGCACAGCTCTGCTTTTTAAACAACAAAAGACCCAATCTCTGTGTTCCTGTGCACACAGAGCCCTTTGTGTTCTTGGCTGTGGTAACCCCTAAAGAACTGGAGGCACTGGATTATACACACTGCATTTCTTATCAAGGGTCAATGAAAGAGATTAACAGCTAACTCGTGCTCCATCTTCACAGTAAGAAGTGCCTTAGAGGAGCTGCTGCTTATGCTGTAAAATCAGCATTGATTGACACAGAAGTTGCCATAAAACCAGGAAATTTTTTCCTCTTTTTCAGCAAATGGCACCGAGACCGTGGCCAGGAAGCAGCCGGATGGCACCTATCGTCTGTATGGATTTAAGTGGTTCACATCAGCAGCTGATTCTGATATGGCATTAACCCTGGCCAGGATAACAGATGCTGAAGGACAGGTAAACCATTTCTGTTGGGTGGGAAACCAGGGGAAGGAGCAGGGGCATTCTTTTTCTTCCTTGTTGCATTGTAATGAAATCCTCTGTGTGCCTTGCAGTGTGCCAAGGGCTCCAGAGGCCTGTCCCTGTTCTTCCTGAGGGTTCGGGATGAGGAGGGGAAGCTGAACAGCATCCAGGTGCAAAGGCTGAAGGACAAGCTGGGCACGAGGCAGATGGCAACAGCAGAGCTGTGGCTGCAAGGAGCCAGAGCAGAGCTGGTGTGTAAGAGTTCCCCTGCCCTGGGGAATGGGCTTCTCAAGCGTGGTACTCACTCCTGAGGCTTTCAGCAGAGATCCCAACTGAAAAAGTTCCTCTCTTCCACCTCTGTAGCTTGGCTGTCCACATCACAGAACAATTCACTGGTGGGGCTCTGTGTGGGGCAGAGCTGAGAAGAGCTCAGGAAAGGATGTGAGAGAAGACAACAACAACAACAAAGTTGTTTTAGGCTGGTCATTTCTCTAATCCTGGCTCCTGAGCCAGCTGAGGGACAGGCTGTGAAGTGTGCAGTAGGAACAAGCAGCAGGGACCAGAACTGATCATGACACAGTCTCCAAAAGCAACTTCTGTGATCATAGAAACACAGTCCCAGGATAGGTTGGGTTGGAAGGGGCCTTAAAGCTCATCTCATTCCACCCCTTGCCATGGGCAGGGACACCTTCCACCAGACCAGGTTGCTCCAAGTCCCATCCAACCTGGCCTGGGACACTTCCAGGGATGGGGCAGCCACATCACAGCACAGACTTGGCTAAAATGAGACGAATGTATTTCAAAGCAAGTAGGTCTCTGAGTGCCTGAGGGCAGACAGGGACAGAGTGGACAGCCTGTGTCCATGTGTCTGTTCACACATGTTCATGTCCATCCCTATGCAAGGTGAGTGCAGGGCTCATGTCAGCCCTTGTTCTTGCAGATCTCTGCAGAGGGTCATGGAGTGGCCACCATCTCCAACATGCTGAACATCACTCGGATCCACAATGTCATTGCTGCAGTGGCTTCCATGAGAAGGTGACAGCAGCATGGATCCCTCCAGGGCTGAAGGAGCAGCTGCTCAGGACAAGGGGACTTTGCACTGCTTGGCACTGCAGCCGAGTGTCCCCTTTGTGGGACAGGCCTGGAGCCAGCAGTGCTGGAGGAGGGTGGCCTGTGAGTGAGTGACCTGTACAGGTGTGGTACAGCTGAACAGGGTTCTTACAGTGCAGGGGACTGGAAGGAAATGCTCAGAAGTGGAAAGTTGCTGGTGTAACTGTTCACTGTGCGTGTTCCCTCCAGGATGATCAGTCTGAGCAGGGACTACGCCCGCAAGCGCATGGCCTTCGGGAAGCTCCTCAAGGACCATCCCCTGCACATGCAGACGATAGCTCGGATGGAGGTGAGGCTTTTGGGAACCAAGCTGGACCTGCTGGGAAGGAAAGAGGGCAGAGACCCTGTGCTGTTAGTGAGCACAGCCAGATTTAGATTTAGATTTAGAATTTGCACTCAGATTTAGGAGGCTATTCCTGCTACAGCAAAGTGGATGCAGCAAGGGAACTATTGTACTCTAGTGGGATTTGATCTGATTACAGACCTAGCTCCTCTGCTGGACTTCAGGTTATCCTAAACAATTACCTGGGAGTTTCCCTGAGAGAAAGGAATGCCCTTACTATGATAAGCCATGACCTCTGATGTTGGGTGTTTGCCTCAGAATCCAGGCTTGACACCACAGTCACTTGACTCTTGTCCAAGACTTGTATGGACTCATCCAACTTCCCTGTGAGCTCCTGCATCAGGAGATGGGCTGTAAACAGTATTTAACAGTATTCCCTACCTTGCAAGATGGGAAAAGGTGGTCAAGATCTGTCAGACATGACTTCAGGCTCCAGCATCGCACTGCCTGTGGCCAGAACTCCCCCTTTGAAAGGAAGGGCAGATCCTACATAGTCCTACAATACAGAGCTCCTTACCCTGATGCTTCTCAAATCCAAACTTGCCAGGGAAGTAAGCTGCTCAGGAAGAAATCTGTCACAGATCTTGCAGCTCCTGGTGCTTAGAGGTTGGCCATCATCTCACATCCCTTACCTTTGGAAAGGATGTGGATTTGGGGCCAGGATGCTTTTTAGGAGCTTTGTTAAGGCTCAGATAGGCCTGATGAAAAGCACTGCCCCTTTACTGCCTCACAGTGTCCAAGAGTGGCAGAGAACCTTTAATACTCCGTACTTTGTGCCTTGGCTGCTCAGAGATCTCTGAAGCTGTGTGTCTGAGCAGGCAGGGGGAGTCATTTTACCCTGGAGGCATCTCATGCATGGAGTCTGGAGTCAGCAGAGTCCCAGATCCCTGCCAGTGAGTCCCCCTGTCCTCTGCTCACAGGTGCAGGTAAGAGGGGCATTCCTGCTGCTTATGGAGATCGTTCGCCTGCTGGGTCTGGCTGAAACCAACCTGGCAAGTGAGCAGGAGCAGCTGCTGCTGAGGCTGCTCATCCCAGTGGCCAAACTCTACACAGGGAAGCAGGTATGGAACAGATTGATTAGCCCAGAGTGTGGAATATTGGTGACCACAGAGCTGGGAAGAGGAGTGACACAGCAGTGAGAGCAGGGGATACCTGCAGCAGTTCCTGCTCTGGAGGCTGCTGCTCCTGCAGGTCCTCTCTGTGTCACTCAGGCTTCATTCCCATCTGCTCCTCCTGCAGGTAATGACCAGCCTGCCTCAGGAGATGAACAGGATCCAGTCAGCCCACCCCAGCAGGAGCTGCTGTGTGGTGTGGGAGGTTGGATTTCCCCCTCGGGCACTGTGGGTCATGGCAGCTCTCTGCATTTTGCAGGCTTCTGCTGTGGCTGTTGAGGCAATGGAGAGTTTTGGGGGCCAAGGTTACATGGAGGACACAGGCTTGCCAGTCATACTCCGGGATACTCTGGTAAGAGGGTGGCAGGAGAAGGTCCCATGTGTCACCACATCTCCTGCACAGCACTCTGGCTCCCTGCTAAAGACACACATTAGAGAGAACACAGCTCTCCTGGGCTCACTTCAGGTGTGGCAGCTCTTCCCTCACTGCCTTCCTGCTGGGCCCAGCCACCCCCAAGGAAGGACAGGATGTGTTCCTGATGCTGTTCCCTAGCACAGCAATGGAGCTGGGCTCCACTGCTCCCTTCCACTTACTGTGAGACAAGGCATCTCTGGAGATATCCTTGGTATCCCTTACTTCTGCCCTGTGTCTTTGTTCCCTCACACTCCCCTTCTTTGCTGCAGTCACTGCAAGGGCTCCCTCAGGCTCTTCCACAGTCTCCTCTTCCCCACAGGTGCTGTCCATATGGGAGGGAACAACAAATATCCTGTCCCTGGATGTGCTGCGATCCCTCGCCAAGAGCCAAGGGCAGGTGATGGCTGTGTTCCTGTCCACAGTGCAGGTGAGCCCACAGCTGCAGCCCTGTTCAGCCTGATCCACCCACCTTGGCAAAGCCTTCTTTGGGGTTTGTGCTCCTGCCTGAGACTGGCAGGGAATAGGCCCAAACTGAAAGCTTTAGACAAGTACTCAAACAATTGGAATTGTGTCTTACAATTCTGCTCCTTAAATAGCTCTTCCAAAAGCAGGATGCAGGCAGTGCTCATCCTGGGATCCTTGTGTGCAGACACTTTCAGCTCAGCAGTGGGGAGCTTGGCACTGTCAGAGTTCCTCAAGACAGGTACCAAAATAAGTGTATTTTTAACGTGACTCACCTTCCTGAATCCAAAATAATTTTGTGGTTTTGTTTCTTAACTGGAAAATCACCACAGGACTGCTGAATATTGAACCTCACTAGGGCTATCTACTGCATTATGACTTTCTATTTTTATTCCCTGAAAAGAGGGAAAGAGCCAAAGGAATTCCATTTCTGTCTCTTTGGATTTGCTGTTCTTTGGCTCTACTTTTAAAGCTGCTCAGGTGACAGGAGTTCAAAGTAGCTCAGAGTTTCATGAAGGTGAAGGAGCATCACCTGGCTTGGTGCATCCCAGAAAGGGAGACAGGAGGCAGGATCAGAGGGTGTTGTCTCAGAGGTGACATTATTAATCCAGACACAGCAATCCAGATCTCATTAGCCCACTGCTGGAATTGTGGGCATCTGGAGTGCTGGATTTAGTTGTGTGCAGCCTTCACATTCCCACCCAGACCCCGTGAGAAGGGAAGGGTCTGGGGCACTGTTCTCCTGCAGCACTGGGGACTGGACAGAGCTTTCCAGAGCCTGAGTAGTTCTCACAGTGGCTGCAGTTGGCAGCTTGTGTCCCATCTCACCCCCCCAGCTCAGCTGTGCTCTGTACACAGCAGCTCTCTGACCTCCAGCAGGGAGGGTCCCCTTGCCATCCTCTCAGACAACTTTTGAGAAGGAAAAAATACCTCAAACGATTTGGCCACTAAACAAGAAGCCAGATCTGCTCAGGAGCAGGACTGAGCACATCAGCTGGGGGCAAATCCAGCTGCTGGCAAACAGCTGCTTAGGCTGACACTGCAGGTAATGGATGGGGAAGTAGAGGAGCTGTGGGCAGGCTCTAAAATAATTTGGAAAGAAGCAGCTTCCACAGTCTTACACTGAGCACTGAGTTAAACAAACACCCCACAAAGGTGCTGTGCTGCACCTCCTTGGCGCAGCTGGGAGGGCCCCTCCAGCTGCTCAACAGCTGGAAAATCAGGGATGCATTAGGGAGCACAGCGCCCTGGTGCAGAGCAGGGACCTGCAGAGCAGCAACACGAGTCCTGAGATTCATTAATTAACGAGCTCCTCAGTGCTCCCATCAATCACGCTGTGGGTGAGGCTGGAGGGAGGTGAGTGCTGGCTTCAAGGTCTCCAAATTCCAGTAATGCCACTGCCTTTACTGTCCATGTCACACTGAGGCTGCTGCGTGTCCAGGGAGAGGGACTGGGTCGGGCTCAGCAGTGTGGATGCTCCAGTTCTGGGTAGAACACATCAGACCTGGCCAGTTTAAGCTTTTCCTTTATGCCTCGGGCAGCCAGGTGCTGGAAAGGCAACCTGGGAGGGATTTCTGTCTGCAGATTTCTGCAAGAACGTGCCTGAGTTTTTATACCAGAATCAGGTTTTCACTCACAGGTGATAAACAACACCTTTCTGAGCTCCAGGTGTCCAAATTCTTTCAGTCTGTGAGTCTGGCTCATTTTGAAACATCCCTCCCAATCCTGTCTAGTGAGGAAATAATTTAACCCACCATAAAGGGGTTTTTACTGTTCCAATCCATTTCCTTTTTATTGATGCACACAAACCGAGTACAGTTTATTTTATGTTTGTCCATCAAGGTTCTCAGTGTGCAAGACTTGTGCCCATTGTCAGAGGCTTTGCAGAAAGCAGCATTAGTGACTGTAGAGCACTTGTTTGTCTGAAGGTCATTTGAAGGGTAACTCCAGGTTTTGCCTTTATCCTTTATCAGCTGTGTCTATTGATGGTGAGATACCCAGTTCTGATCAGGAGCAGGAACCAAGGGTTGTAATTATCCTCAGGAAAAGGGAAATATAGAGAACTTAGCCATCCTTGCACAATGTGAGTATGAGAAGCTGAATTTTTAGGGGTTTTAATACACAGCTGAGTTTGTGATAAACCATCTTGTCTAGAGGATATAAGTATGGAAATCCTGGGGAGAAGAGTGAGTTTGAGAGACAGGGATGGAATCATGAAATGGTTTGGGTTGGAAGGGACCTAAAAACATCTCTCATCCCACCCCCTGCCACCTTCCACTATCCCAGGGTGCTCCAAGCCCTGTCCAGCCTGGCCTTGGGCACTGCCTGGGATCCAAGGGCAGCCCCAGCTGCTGCTCTGGGCACCCTGTGCCAGGGCCTGCCCACCCTGCCAGGGAACAATTCCTGCCCAATATCCCATCCATCCCTGCCCTCTGGCAGTGGGAACCATTCCCTGTGTCCTGTCCCTCCATCCCTTGTCCCCAGTCCCTCTCCAGCTCTCCTTTAGGCCCTGGAAGGGGCTCTGAGGTATCCCTCGAGCCTTCTCCTCTCCAGGTGAGCACCCCCAGCTCTCCCAGCCTGGCTCCAGCCCTTGGAGCAGCTCCATGGCCTCCTCTGGACTGGCTCCAGCAGCTCCAGGTCCCTCCTGTGCTGGGCCCCAGGGCTGGGGCAGCTCTGCAGGTGGGGTCTCACCTGAGTGGGGCAGAGAATCAGAATCCTCCCTCCCCTGCTGCCCATGGTTTGGGATCAGTCCAGGACACATCCTGACTTCCAGCTCTGCTGTGGTGAGATTTCAGGTGGATACTGCACAGGGCCAGTCAGTTCGTGTTGTACTAAAATTTTATTAGCTGGATTTTTGAGCCAGAGCCCTGGGTGTACTTTCAAATTCAATTACAATCTGAAAAGTGCCTCTAAAATAGCCTTGGGCAGTTCGTTGATTATTGCATTTGAGTCACTTCAGGTGAAATTTGGGCGCATCCCAGGACAGGGTCTCAGCACCAGCCCCACACGTGTCGTGCAAGGCTCAGAATCAACTCTTGCCTCAAGAATTTCTATGTAGGGCTATAATTCAGGCTGTAACTCAGGCTGTAAATCAGCCCTGCAATCTCAGACACATGAAGTGTTTTCAGGTCCTTTTCAAACCACAACCCTAATTTTCTGGCAGCAGGAAACAAATCGAGGTTATTGATGTGGGGCTGTGTGTTCGCTCCAAGCATTGACACAGAATTGTGCTTTTAGCCCTGTTTGGGATGTTCCTCCTGTCACTGTATTTTTAGATACTCATGATTAATCTTGTAAGTAAAAACCACTCTGACCACATTGCTTGGGAGCCAGTGCAAGCAAACAAACAAGCAGCATCTTAAAATTCCTCAGTGAAAACAGAGGGAATCAGAACTATTGGAGCTGTGAAGCTCCTTTGCTGATCATTTCAGGCTGTAAGGGGTGGTGGGGCAGTGATGCTGTGTGTGCCTCCTCCCAGAGCTGGAGCAGAGCAACCAGGAGAGGAGCTGCTCCTGCCTCAAGCATTGCTCTGGAGCAGCTCCCAGCCTCTCCATCCCAAGTGCAGAGAGAGCATGGAAAAACCTTCCAGAAGATCCAGGACTTTTGGTTAGGAAAGGAACAAGTGCAATTGGAACAACAAAGAAAGTAAATTATTGGTGAACAAAGAAAATACAAGGTCTTTTTTACCCCTTAAGGATAAATGATACTTTTACATTCCTGATCCATATTTCCAGGTGTTCAAACCTTCCAGCTGTGGCAGCATGTCCGTGTCCCAGCCACAAGCAGCCTGTGTTGTCTCCGTGCTCGGCCAGTGCTGTGCTGGCTCCCACCCAAACTGAGGGAATTGATGCCTTTGGGATCTGTGATCCTCATTAGCAACAACCTCTGAGCTGCTTTACAACACCTCATTAGTATTCCATGGGCTTGGAGGTTTATGGGCTTTATGCGGGCACTAGAATTGTTCTTGTATTTGACCAGCATGTGCTGGGGCTGTTTCTGCCCCTGGAGCCTGGAACAGCAGCACTGGCAAGTGTGGAAGTGTGGGGTCTGAGCAGTCAGAGAACACAGAGCAAACCTGGGCTCAGCCCAGCCCAGATGGATTTTCTGGTCCAGCAAGAGGAGCTGCGGGATCACCTCAGCACTGAAAGCCTCAGAAACATAAAAAATTCCTTCTGTGTAGCTGCTGCTCACAGGCTTCAGTCTCGTCTGCAGGTTATTGATGGAGCTAATTAATGAGCAGCACCTCCCACCACACTGTGCTGCTCACATCCAGCCTTTGGGGATGCTCTCCAAGCTGATCCCTCAGTCCTGCTGCAGAGAAAGGGGTTTGAGTGAGGAAAGATGGGATCACAGCTCATGAGGCAGGGCCAGCCCCAAACACAGGCAGTGTCCCATCCTTGCTGGGAATAGCAGAGGAGACACTGATGAACAGCGTGGGAAGGCAGTGCCCAAAGAACAATTCCAGATTCTCTCAGCAGAGTATCACTGCTGCTTTCACAAGGGATTTGGGATGTGACAGAACAGAAGCTTGGCTCAGACAGGGGAGCTTTCAGGCAGTGCTATTGGCACAGTTAAATTCCCAGTCTTCATCAGAATCATGGAATGCTTTAGGTTGGTGTCTTGGTTCTAGAAGACAGGTGTCTGCTAGGGAGAGCAGGAGCCTCCCTTGGGGTGAAAGAATGTAGACCCCCTCCCTCCGAATTATTATAAATTTGAAATCAAGGGGCTTTCAGGCAGAGATCTGGGGATAGGAATAACAGTTCTTTACTAGTATAACCAGGCAAACAAACAAACAATAACTACAGCAATAACAAGAACACAGAACCAGGGACCCCGGGACAGCTCTCTCAGCTGAGATGGGGTGGAGGAGAGGTTTAGTTTTTCACAAACCCCTCGGGCAGTCAGTCCCGGTGCTCCTGCAGGGCTCCGGGGAACAGTCGGCTGGAACAGCAGGGATGAGCTGAGATCCTGGGCCGGTGGATGAGGTGTATCAGCAGGGATGAGCTGAGATCCTGGGCCGGTGGATGAGGTGTATCAGCAGGGATGAGCTGAGATCCTGGGCCGGTGGATGAGGTGTATCAGCAGGGATGAGCTGAGATCCTGGGCCGGTGGATGAGGTGTATCAGCAGGGATGAGCTGAGATCCTGGGCCGGTGGATGAGGTGTATCAGCAGGGATGAGCTGAGATCCTGGGCCGGTGGATGAGGTGTATCAGCAGGGATGAGCTGAGATCCTGGGCCGGTGGATGAGGTGTATCAGCAGCTCTGCGGCGGTGGCTGCCACACGTCCCGGCAGGGCAGGGGGTGCGAGGCCACCAACCAAGAGGGGAGAAGGAGAAGAAGCAACTGCTCCGTCTGGGTGATGGCGAAAATCCCTTCTCTCCACCGCAGCAGCTCCGCGACCCAGCACACGAACGTCCTTCCCCGAAGCCGGAGAAAAACCAGCTAAAAAACTGTCCCCACCCTCCTTTTCTGCCCCCTTTCCCCCCCCTGGGCCCGGCTACTCTTTGTCCGTTGTCAATCACCCCTAAGTACCGGTAGTTAGGTTGCCCCAGCACATAATGGGTAAAAATTCCCCGGGCAGGCCAGAACGACAAAACAAACAAAAACAAAAAAAAAGGACACCTAACCCTCAACAGTTGGAAAAGCCCTCTGGGATCAAGTCCAGCCATTGCCCAGCCCTGCCAAGGCCACCACTGCCCCATGTCCCCAGTGCCACATCCACAGGGCTGTTAAATCCCTCCAGGGATGGGGATCCACCCCTGCCCTGGGCAGCTGTGCCAGTGTCTGGCCACCCTTTTGGTGAAGGAATTTTCTCTAATATTCAACTTGAACCTCTCCCAGTGGAGCTTGAAGCCATTTCCTCCTGTCTTGGGGCCTTTTCCTCTGACACAATTTGCAGAGGAAAGCTCATTTAAATGTGAATTTTCCTGCTTAGACACAGTTTGAGCATATTTGTGCAAGTAATAATGTAACTGTGGGAGAATTAGACCCTGATACAGGTATAGAGAGAACTGGGGATGAGAGCAGCTGGGAAGCCAGAATGGAAACAGCAGCATGCTGGCTCTGGTCACAGGGAATTCTCCATCCCCAAGGCAAGGCTGGGAGCTTCCTTTTCTGCACATCCCCTTCCCTGGCTGCTCCACCTGTGCCAGTGGCAGCCACCTGGATCTGAGCTTGCTGTCAGCAGCTGGGTGTGCTCAGGGTCCCAGCAGCCCCTTCCCTGGCACAAGGCAAATACACTGGAATTTTTCCTGTGCTTGTTCTCTCTGCAGGAGAAGCTGGAGCTGGTTTCAAGCACCAAGGAACTGGCCCCGGCCGTACAGCGGACACGGGAAGCCATCGGGAGCCTCCGACAGTTCATGGCAGCTGCGGGCTCAGAGCAGACACTGACCATGGAGCTGGCAGCCAGGGACTTCTCCTACAGCCTGGCACGGATCTACACAGGCAGGGCAATGACAGGAATGCCAGAAACATGGAATGGTTTGGGTGGGAAGGGACCTCAAAGCTCATCCAGTCCCACCCCCTGCCATGGGCAGGGACACGTTCCACTATCCCAGGGTGCTCCAAACCTCCTCCAGCCTGGCCTTGGACACTGCCAGGGATCCAGGGGCAGCCCCAGCTTCTCTGGGAATTCCATCCCAGCCCCTCCCTACCCTCCCAGGGAACAATTCCTGCCCAATATCCCATCCATCCCTGCCCTCTGGCAGTGGGAGCCATTCCCTGTGTCCTGTCCCTCCATCCCTTGTCCCCAGTCCCTCTCCAGCTCTCCTGGAGCCCCTTTAGGCCCTGGAAGGGGCTCTGAGGTGTCCCTGGAGCCTTCTCCTCTCCAGGTGAGCACCCCCAGCTCTCCCAGCCTGGCTCCTGCCCTTGGAGCATCTCTGTGGCCTCCTCTGGACTGGCTCCAGCAGCTCCAGGTCCTTCCTGTGCTGATGGATTTCAGACCAGGGAAGGGTTGGGAATCAGCCATAGACATGTAATTCACACCTGGGTCAAGGGTGGAGCTCTAAAGCTCAGTCCCCACCTTTGACGCTGAAGCAGATGAGCCTCAAGCACTGCTGAGAAGTATCCACCGTCCTTTTTTCCTGAGCCCTGGGCTGTTCTGGCAGGAGCCTGGGAATGTTGACACCTCCTACTTCCCTACAGGAGCTCTTTTGATGGAACACGCGGCTCGGGCCGATGCTTCCTCCGCAGACGCCTGCGCTGCCCTGAGGTAGGCACAGCCCTGTCCACCCTGAGTGTTCTGGATGATTCCATGGGCAGTGCCAGAGGCTTTGCTCTGCCTCCGGAATGATGCAGCCCCTGACCACGGCCGGACCCACGAGCACAGCTGGGAACAAGCAGCGGCTGCTCTCAGCCCCGGGGCTTCTCCCTGCTCGTGAGATTCCCGCACTGATGGGGGGATCCCACCTGGGCACGGCTCGGGTTGGCACCAGCCCCGTGTGTGAGGCAGGACTGGCACAGCCCATCCCTTTCTCCATCCAGGTGGTGCAGCCAGGAGCTGTGTCCGGTGGCCGTGGAGTCAGGCAGGGGCAGCTACGGGGGCGGGGCAGCGCTCCAGGACAGCGCCCTGGTGTTCGGGAACAGCCGGCTCTGAGCGCCTGCAGCCCCGGCACGGACACCAGGTGGGTTGCAATCCAAAAAATCCCCCAAATCCTCAGACTCCTGCAGATTCCAGGTATGGTGGAATGTCCCGTTCCACGAGGAGCCAGACCAAGTCCTTTAGGAGTGACCCCCACCTGCCCCGTGCTGAAATCCATGCCTTTGAGGTTTCCTAATGCAGACACAGCCCTGAGAGTCACTCCAAGGTGCTGGAATGTTCTCACAGTGCTTTAGGAAAAGCCCCAGTGATAAAATCCAGATAAGAGCTAGAAGCAGCAGCTCTTCAAGTGCCAACACTCTTCTTTTTGAAGAAAACCAGCCAAAATCAATCTGAAAGTTTTCTGGAGCTGATTAAATACAGAAACCCACCATTTTCCCCATATCACCTTCCTGCTTTCCCGTGCTGACCACAAACTTCCACCCCTGGATGGGGTTTGTTCCAGGGGCAGCCCTTTCCACCCACTGTGAACACTGACCTCGTCAGGAACTGCTGCTTTCTGAAGAAAAAAGGGATTTTTATTCTCTCTGGCCTCCAGAAAGTTGATGAATTCCCTATGCATGTGTCCTAATGATGCTGCAAACCACCCTGACATAAATTCTACAGAAGTTTTGGACTGGAACCCAGTAATTCTTCACCTAAGCACTGGCTGTGGGCTTCTCCTTCCCCTCAGCCCATCAGTCAACCTGCTTGGTATTGCCCTGCTGGCTACAAGTTTTTAATTAAGAAGTTGCTAATAGAAGAAGAAAAGCACTAATAGATCGAAGACAGCTGGAATTTATAGCTGGGAAATGGTACAGCAGCCAGACACTGAGTGGGAAGAGAGGGAAGGAGCTGTTTGCTGAGATGAGAGTTGTCTGGAGTTTCAAAGATAGCAGAGCCAGGACACAAAGGGTGGCTCTGGGGAGGAGCAGAGTGGAACAATCCCAGCAGGACACAGCAAGGGAGGCTCCACGGGCCCCCTGTGTCCTGGCACAGGGATCACAGGCTGAGCCAAGCAGAGCTTCCCTGAAATCACCAAAATGCCATGAACCAACCCCAGCAGCAAAGGGCTTCTGTTGTCTGTGCACTGCAGGGAATAAAGAGTGTTTGGGTTTGGAAAATCTCCTACATCACAGAATCATGGGATCATGGAATGGCTTGGGTTTGAAGGGACCTTAAAGCCCATCCAGTGCCCTCCCTGCCATGGCAGGGACACCTCCCACTGTCCCAGGCTGCTCCAAGCCCCAATGTCCAGCCTGGCCTTGGGCACTGCCAGGGATCCAGGGGCAGCCCCAGCTGCTCTGGGCACCCTGTGCCAGGGCCTGCCCACCCTGCCAGGGAACAATTCCTTCCCAATATCCCATCCAGCCCTGCCCTCTGGCACTGGGAGCCATTCCCTGTGTCCTGGCAGCAGGACTCTGTCCCTGCAGTTTGGTGTCAGAGATCTCAGGGGTCAATGCTGGAGCTGCTGTGCCCTGTAAGGCTCAGGAGAATGGGGAGGTGAGGGAGCAACGCCGAGCTCTGAGTGATGATGGCAGAACATCCACCCCCAGCTGTGCCCGTGGGTCCAGCAGCAGGAGATGGATGTGACCCAGGAGGGAAGGTCCAGGTGCTGGAAGTGTTTGTAGAGCTGATCAACACCTGGGATCCCCTGCTCTCCCTAAGGGCTCAAATCCAAGTGCTGCCAATCCAGGCTTTCCCTCTTCCCAGCCCATTTTACATTTCTGAACACCAGGATTCATTTTTTTCACATGTATGAGCTATAATTTGCCTAAAAATAAGCCCTTCAAACTGGGAGCTCTGCCGATGCACCACCACAGAGAACAAGGGACTATGAATTCATTGCAGTGTAGGAAAATGACAAATTTATTAAGATCTAAATATTCACTCTGAGGCTACAGTGGAATAAAGGCTGTTACACACGAGGGTCTGACACTTCCAGTGCTGCTGAACAGCTCTGCCCTCAGAGCTTGGCATGATTTCAAATATTTCATGTGGTTCAAGTAAGTCATTGAGACTTCAGATGTAATTTTAATATAAATCCCACCCAAAAAGAGGACAATCAAATCCATCACCTGCTGCCACTGCAAGGTCTAAAAATCATTTTGTGACAGAGCTGAGGGAAATCCCTTTAAAACCCAGATTTGTTAAATAATAAAGTCAAACTTTAGCAGCATTTAGAAAATGTCAAAATCCAAAGAACCGAAGAGCTGAAATCCCAAAATGCAACAATGGGAGCTCTGGCAGCTGCGCTGTGGGAAGAGATGGGCAGCTCCAAGGACTGGGGAGCGCTCAGGCCAGTCCTGCTCCTGCAGAGCTGCCCTTTGCTCAGTGCTGAGCAAACCTCGTCTGGACAGTTCCAGAACCCTCTGAGCCTGCTCAGCTTCCTGCACATGGTTACTGCCCTACACCTCGAAACCTCTCCCAGGGCAGGCTCCATCCCACCCCTGCAGCCTTTCCCAGGGAGTGGAGCAGTTCCCGAACACCTCCTTCCCCTTCCTTCCCCAGCAGAGCCTTTGGTTCCCACCCTGCACCTGCCACCACCACCCTGACGTGTGCCCAGCTCCGAGAACCGAGCCCTCCCAGGGTGAGATCCGGTGCCAGCTCCCCTCAGTTCCCAGCGGTTCCTGGCGCTGTTTGAGATCCCAACTCAGGAGGTTGTTCCACAGCCCAGGGGCAGCTCTGAAGCCACTGATGGTGACAGCAGCGCCGGTGTCCTGACAGGTTCATGGGCTGTCTGAGAGCTGGGACAAAGGAAACAGGGAAGGAGGCTCCTTAGGAAGAAATAATCTCAGGAAAATGAGCTCTGACACCTTCAGCCGTGTCCTCCTCTGGCACAGCTGCTGCCCCTGGCAGGAGCCCTTCTGCACTCTGGGGAAGCTCAGAACTTCTCTGATCCCTCTGGGGCAGAGACCCGAACTCAGAAACTGCCCGGGGCCTGTAACATCTGCAGGACAATGAGCTCCTGAAAGCACTCAGGAGAAACTCAAGTAGGAGAGGAGCTCCAGGAAATCCCATTGTGAGGTGTGAAATGCTTGGCGTGGTCCCTACACCACCAAACGTGATTCCTGCTTCTTCTCCGCTCCAGATCACATCAGCGGCTCTATCCCAGCCTGGTTTGATTTAAGGAACACCAAATCACAGAGGGCTTGTGTTCAAGGTCTTGTGATAACGTCTGGCCCCAAATCCCTCACAGCTGCTCAGACCCCCGAGAATTCAGGGCAAATCCTCAAATATGTAAGAGAACAAATAAATGATGGTGAGGGGCTTGAGGGGACAGGACAGTGCCCAGCTGGAATGAGCCAGGAAATTTGAGCCATTGGAAAATGGGAATAATCCTTGTGCAGGACAAACATCAGTTGAGTCTTCCACCTTCTGGAAAACAAAGATCTTAAACCTGAATGAGTCTGGTTTGATCCCAAAGAGCCACAGCTCCACCACCCAGCATCGGGGTAAGGCAGGTGCAAGTGGGAATGGAGCTTCCACTGAAAGCAGGGGGAACTCCCTGGAAATCCAGGCTGCTCCTACATTTGGGTAACATCACAGACTGAAATAGGATGGTTGGTCAAGGGGAAAAAGAAAAACAGGGTGTGGAGGGAGTTGAGACTGGCACCTTTCTCCATCCTGGGAAAACCGTGCTGATTGTGCCAACAGCAGGGTGTGTGCATTGTGGGCCTCCCCCTTCCTGGGACTCCTGCACCAGGAAAACCAAGATTTAATTTTTTCTCTTAAGTTTAGGAGTGACAGTTTGTTGTTCCCTGGAAAGACACGGTGTGGAACAGGAGGCCAAGGGCAGCAGCTGCAGCCTCCTTTCCCAAGGCCTTGGTGTTTCTGCTGAGCCTCCAATACGTCCCCTCCAAGGGACAGGGAAGAAAACTAAGAAATTGTGTTAGCAAATGCTCCCATGCAAAAGTCTAAACTTTATTCACTTTTATTTATATATTTAACAATTCTAAAGTATTTACTTCTCGCTTTTGACAAAAATGAAAAATATAGGAGCACTTTACTCTCTTGTGGAGAGAAGGGTTATTTCTGTACACAGCTACGGAGAGACGGCTTCCTCCTTTACATACAAAGAAAAATAATATTAATAAAAAAAGTGCTTCATCGATCCAAAAAAGCCTAAAGAGCTGCAAGCTTTTATTCACACTGTACATCCCAGCCCCGGCCCGGACCCTCTTGGCACGTGCAGAGGCTCCGGCTGATTCTGCACCACAAAGCCACACAAGGTTGGGGTGTCCCCCCCCCAGCCCAGCGCCGCCACCTCCCCCTCGCCACCCCGGGAGGAGCCGGACGTTCCCTCGCCCCGCTCGGAACAGCGACGCCTGTGCCTCTCTCCCAGCCCCCGATCCTAAACATTCCTTGGCTGGAAACGCCATCCTTCACTTTGCTTTTCCCTCAGTGTCTCTTTCTCTAGACCTGTGCCAGGGAGATCCCAAGATGCTCCGTCCGTTCCCAGACCCCTTTCCCGCAAGGACGCAGCCTCCTCCTTCCTGGACATGGGCGCCAGCGCGTGGATCCGGCAGGGTGGGAAGGGCACGGTCCAACCACCTCAGACCCACTCAGCTCTGCCAGATGGTTTCTCAACATGACCCTCCCTTTGGAAGATGTGATTGTGACATTCCAGGGAAGGGAAATGCAAAATGATCCTTTCCCAAGGTTCTTGGATTTTGAACTGTTGTATTTAGCCTCTCAAATACTCCAGCAGGATTCTTAGGAATACCAGAGAATTTGGGATTTTCCCTAGGGAATGCACTGTGAGCAGGATCTACTCTTCCTCCTTGCCTGATTGCACTAAGCAGGATCTATGGGAAGGGAATGGGATGAGCACCTACCGGTCTGTTACAAATGGATATTTGGGAGTTTCACCCTTCAGTGAGGTGAGTGATTGGGACAGAAGGAGGAAGGGAAATCCATAATGTATTTTGGATTGTTTTAAGCTCCTCAGGCAGCTTTTTCCTATCTGGAGTACACTGAAGACAGCCTGGGAAAGGAGGAGCATCCCAAGAGGGTGCCCAGCACCAGCGCAATCCGCACAGGCCGAGCCCGGCGGGCCCCGGCCGCCTTCCGTCGGTTTGGATCGTCCAGTAAAGTGCGAGTGACCAGCCAGGACCCGACCACGGCAATGCTCTGCTCCCACAGGGAATCTCACCCGGATGTGGCAAGGACAAGGCAGAGATCTGCTCCTGTCCTCGTGGATTCAGTCAGGAATTGCATGGTCAGAGCCCTGGCGAGGCCCGGTGTGATGCCTGGCTCAGCGTTCCAGGTGTTCCCGCTCCGAGGGCTCAGAGCTCACGGATTGTGTGCAGGTACAGAGCCGCCAGCGCAGGAACCTGACCGAGACCCCCTCGGGCAGCCAAGCCCACCGTGAGAACAGAGAGGGAAAAGGTCTCGGGAAGGAGATTCCCACCTCTTCTAGCAGCAACAGGTTCCCAAACAGCAGTTTCGGGTTTGGAATAACAGGAGTGATTGAAAGCACTGGAGGCTGCAGCTATTCAGGCTCTCCACTCTGGCCAGCCCGGCTCCCTCTGCTCCCCAAAATCCTCGGCCTGCAGCAGTTCTGCAGCGGGACAGATAAATACCCACAGGGACCCTGGCTCTGCACCAGCTCCCTCCCCACGTCCAGGACCCTCCCGCAAACAAACAGATATATTATTATATATACACACACGCACGCGCGGGGACACGGACACACAGACAGGACAGGCAGGAAAGGGGGAAGAGCTGGACAAGGAGAACCCCACGATCCAGCGGCACATCCTCGAGGTCTGTCCCGCCGAGCAGCGCCCCACGCCCCGAGCTCCAGGCGCAGCCTCCCAGCCTCGGCCCCCCGGGATCCGCGTGTCCGTGGGGAAGGGTCGGCTCGGCTGCTCCCCCGCCGCTCCCGGGCCAGGAATTCAGTTGGATGTGGCAGTGATGGGCTTGTCCAGTTCGAGGTCCAGGCTGGAGCTGCCGGGGTGGAGGCTGCTGTAGCAGGATTTGCAGACTCTGCTGGGCTCGAAGAGCTGCTGGCTGGGAACGGGCACCTTCTGGTTACAGCAACTGGAGCAGAACACGTTGCCACAATTCCTTGTACCAGGAACAGAGGAGAAACGGGAAAAAAAAGATCAGAAGGAGTTAGATAAAGTTA